TTGGTGGTGGTGGTCGTGCTGCTGGTGCTGCTACTGGTGATGATGCAGCTGCTTCTGATGACAGTGGAGGTGTTGAGATCCTTTGAGGTGGTGATGGTGTTGAGATCCTTCGAGGTGGTGGTGGTGTTGAGATCCTTCGAGGTGGTGGAGGTGTTGAGATCCTTCGAGGTGGTGGAGGTGTTGAGATCCTTCGAGGTGGTGGAGGTGCAGAGACTTTTAGAGTCGGCTTCCTCCCTTTCGATGGCTGCACGCGCTGCGCAGGCTGAGGTCTCAGGGCAAAAGAAAGGTTATCCATCAACACTTTTACTCCGTAAGTGTTCAGATGTGGCCCTTTCCCTTCAAAAAGCTCATGCCTATTCCAGAACAGATTAAAATTCTCAATGAAGGCAAGTCCTCTGCGTGAACATTCGTTGAGTAGGAAAGTATTTAGCTGATACAGACAACTGAATTTTATTTGCTTCCCGTCCACATTTGGTAGTGGGCCACTGATAACGATTGTTGCGTCCATTTTAGCAAGGTCGTCCAATAAGAGAGAGTAATCCCGTTTCAACTTTTCACTTGTGTTGTCATAGACGTCTACTGCCCCCACGTGGATCAACAATCTTTTTACCCCGCCGGTCTCAGACAGAAGCCTCGGAGCCAACCGCCTTATCTCATCCACTTTGGCAGAGTGTACTGAGTGAACCTTGAGATTACGCATGTTTACATGTCTTATCGCAGAATCCCTGATAAAGAGTGATTCAGCTGCATTTGACCTTGACTGAGACTGAGACTGGGACTGAGAGACTACTGCTGATTCATCTTCCAAAAGTGGTGAAAAGCGGTTTCTTGTAATTAAAGATTTTTGCTGTGGCATTATGACACTCTTGTTATCATTAGCTTTGCCTTGTTTGGGCTTGGCACCATATGTGTTCCAACAATTGTCTCTGTTGATTTTGGGAAATGAAATAGCGTCATCATAACTTACGTTCTGTTCTGTCCATTTGGTCCATTTCCTTTCACTGGTATTGTTGTGTTCAGCCCCAATTCTGATTCAAGCACAAACATTCGGTCTTGAAGAAGTTTTAGCTCCTGTTGAAAAACAGCCGTCGCAAAGTTTTGTTCTTTTTTCCCGTCCTCCCGACATGCTGTAAGTTAGGTAAATTCCACAAGTCTTGTGTTGAAGTTTGTAAAAAGGAGTAATCCGTGTTTTGTGGAATAAAAATGTAAGCAAAAATGATTAAAGGAGATAAAAAAGCAGCAAGCGAGGAGCAGCAAGAGAATGCGACTGCTCTGTCCAGAGCAGGAAGACAGGAAGTTTAGCGGGGAACAGTGGGCCGAGTCAAACACTGTTTTATTGTGTAGGAGTCTGGACAGACCATCGTCCTCCCATCACCAGCAGGGCGGCGACAGAGAGACTGAGCATGGACCAGAGAGAGCACTGTCCTCCCACCACCAGCAGGGCGGCGACAGAGAGACTGAGCATGGACCAGAGAGAGCACTGTCCTCCCATCACCAGCAGGGCGGCGTCACTGAGCAGTGAACGCTCCAATGATCGAGACATTAACTTTAAAAAGGAGGAAGGTCTGCAGTAAGTAAATGTGTGTCTGAGGTTAAGCAGGGCAGGGCCTGGTCAGTGATGTGATGGGAGACCGCTGCACCTGAGTGGTTTCATGTTCCAGCTTCTTCCTTTGAACGTTCTTTGAAGGTTGATCTTGCACATTATCCATCCATCCATCCATTTTCTTCCGCTTTATCCGTTGCCGGGTCGCGGGGGCAGCAGTCTAAGCAGAGATGCCCAGACTTCCCTATCCACACACACCTCCTCCAGCTCGTCCGGGGGGACCCCAAGGCGTTCCCAGGCCAGCTGAGAGACATAGTCTCTCCAGCGTGTCCTGGGTCTTCCCCGGGGCCTCCTCCCGGTGGGACGTGCCCGGAACACCTCCCCAGGAAGGCGTCCAGGAGGCATCCTGAACAGATGCCCGAGCCACCTCAACTGGTTCCTCTCGACGTGGAGAAGCAGCGGCTCTACTCCGAGCTCCTCCCGTGTGACTGAGCTCCTCACCCTATCTCTAAGGGAGCGCCCAGCCACTCTGCGGAGGAAGCTCATTTCGACCGCTTGTATCCGCGATCTCGTTCTTTCGGTCATTACCCAAAGCTCATGACCATAGGTGAGGGAGGAAACGAAGATTGACCGGTAAATCGAGAGCTTCGCCTTTCGGCTCAGCTCCCTCTTTACCACAACGGTCCGATACAGAGACCGCATCACTGCGCACGCTGCACCGATCCGCCTGTCAATCTCACGCTCCATTCTTCCCTCACTCGTGAACAAGACCCCGAGATACTTGAACTCCTCCACTTGAGGAAGGACCTCTCCACCCACCTGGAGAGGGCAAGGCACCTTTTTCCGGTCGAGCACCATGGCCTCGGATTTGGAGGTGCTGATTCTCATCCCAGCCGCTTCGCACTCGGCTGCAAACCGTCCCAGTGCATGCTGCAGGTCCTGGTTCGTTGGAGCCAACAGGACGACATCATCCGCAAAAAGTAGAGATGAAATCCTGTGGCTCCCGAACCGGACCCCCTCCGGCCCCTGGCTGCGCCTAGAAATTCTGTCCATAAATACAGTGAACAGAACCGGTGACAAAGGGCAGCCTTGGCGGAGGCCAACATGCACCGGGAACAGGTCTGACTTACTGCCGGCAATGCAAACACAGCTCTGGCTCCGGTCATACAGGGACCAGACGGCCCTCAGCAGAGGACCCCGGACCCCGTACTCCCGGAGGACCCCCCAAAGGACACCCCGGGGAACACGGTCGAACGCCTTCTCCAAATCCACAAAGCACATGTGGACAGGTTGGGCGAACTCCCATGAACCCTCGAGTATCCGATGGAGAGTATAGAGCTGGTCCAGTGTTCCGCGACCGGGACGAAAACCACACTGCTCCTCCTGAATCCGAGATTCGACCATCGGACGTAGCCTCCTCTCCAGTACCTTGGAGTAGACCTTACCGGGGAGGCTGAGGAGTGTGATCCCACGATAATTGGAACACACCCTCCGGTCCCCCTTCTTGTAGAGAGGGACCACCACCCCGGTCTGCCAATCCATTGGCACCGCCCCCGATCGCCACGCGATGTTGCAGAGACGTGTCAGCCAAGACAGTCCTACAACATCCAGAGACTTTAGATAGTCAGGACGGATCTCATCCACTCCCGGCGCCTTGCCACCATGGAGGCTGCCAACCACCTTGGTGACCTCGGCCAGGGAGATGGAAGTGTCCGCCCCAACATCCTCAGCCTCTGCCTCCTGAACGGAGGACGTGACGGGGGGATTGAGGAGAACCTCGAAGTATTCCTTCCACCGCCCGACAATATCCTCAGTCGAGGTCAGCAGCCCTCCACCTGCACCATACACGGTGTTGGCAAAGAACTGCTTCCCCCTCCTGAGGCGCCGGACGGTTTGCCAGAACCTCTTCGAGGCCGACCGATAGTCATGCTCCATGGACTCTCCGAACTCCTCCCAGTCCCGGGTTTTTGCCTCTGCAACAGCCCGGGCCGCGGCACGTTTGGCCTGCCGGTACTGGACAGCTGCCTCAGGAGTCCCACGAACCATTATTGCTCGATAGGACTCCTTCTTCAGCCTGACGGCATCCCTTACTGCCGGTGTCCACCACCGGGTTCGGGGATTGCCGCCGGGACCAGCACCAGAGACCTTGCGACCACAGCTACGAGCCGCCGCATTGGCGATAGAGGAAGAGAACATGGTCCACTCGGACTCGATGTCCCCCTCCTCCGCCGGGACCTGGGAGAAGCTCTCCCGGAGGTGTGAGTTGAAAGTCCGTCTGACAGGGGGCTCCGCGAGACGTTCCCAGCAAACCCTCACTATACGCTTGGGTCTGCCAGGTCTGACCGGCTTCTTCCCCTGCCAGCGGATCCAACTCACGACCAGGTGATGATCGGTTGACAGCTCCGCCCCTCTCTTTACCCGAGTGTCCGAGACACGCGGTCGAAGGTCAGATGATACGACAACAAAGTCGATCATCGACCTCCGGCCTAGGGTGTCCTGGTGCCACGTGCACTGGTGGACACCCTTGTGCTCGAACATGGTGTTCGTGATGGACAGGCCGTGACTGGCACAGAAGTCCAACAACTGAACACCGCTCGGGTTCAGATCAGGGGGGCCGCTCTTCCCGATCACCCCTCTCCAAGTGTCACTGGCATTTCCCACATGGGCGTTGAAGTCCCCCAGGAGAATAACGGAGTCCCCGGGCGGTGCACTGTCCAGTACCCCTCCCAAGGACTCCAAGAAGGCCGGGTACTCTGCACTACCGTTAGGCCCGTAGGCCGTCACAACAGTGAGAGACTTGTCCCCCACCCGGAGGCGGAGGGACGCGACCCTCTCATTCACCGGGGAGAACTCCAACACGTGGCGGCTGAGATGGGGGGCAATGAGTATGGCCACCCCAGCTCGCCGCCTCTCCCCGCGGGACACACCAGAAAAGTGGAGCGTCCAACCCCTCTCAAGGAGTTGGGTTCCAGAGCCCAAGCTGTGTGTGGAGGTGAGGCCGACTATCTCTAGTCGGTATCGCTCAACCTCCCCCACAAGCTCGGGCTCCTTCCCCCCCAGTGAGGTGACTAGAGTAAGACCAGACTAGAGTTAGACTAGAGAGACCAGAGTAAGACCAGACTAGAGTAAGACCAGAGAGACCAGAGTAAGACCAGAGAGACCAGAGTAAGACCAGAGAGACTAGAGTTAGACCAGAGAGACTAGAGTAAGACCAGAGAGAGACCAGAGAGACCTGGGAGAGAGAGTTTATTGTTGAGTTTAGCGGGGAACAGTGGGCGGAGTCAAACACTGTTTTATTGTGTGGGAGTCTGGACTGACCATCGTCCTCCCACCACCAGCAGGGCGGCGACAGAGAGACTGAGCATGGACCAGAGAGAGCACTGTCCTCCCACCACCAGAAGGGCGGCGTCACTGAGCTCCTTTGATATATTGATTGACTTTAAAAAGGAGGAGGATCATGGGTAAGTCTGACTGTGATTCATGTGTGTCTGAGGCTAAGCAGGTCAGGGCCTGGGCGGTCATCTCCTGTTGTTCCTCTGTATCGTTGAACTGATTTTTTAGTTTTCAGATCCACAGCTCTTTTTGATTTGAGGAATATTTCTGCTGTGGATCTATTTGGGAAACCTGACTCAGACACAGACAACACTGACTGTTTATAGTTTAATGTTTAATATATATAAATCTTCTGGAGATAACTCAGGAAATACAACTTAAAGGTTTATCAGAGAATAGTCTACTTCCTGGTGCATCATCAAGACTATTGGTCCTCCTAACTGTCAATCATTTGGTGCTCGTTTTGTTCAAAAAGTGGAGAGGGCGGTTCTTTCCTAAAATGTGGAAAATCCTCCTATAAAGCTTTAACCAGGAATCCAGGCTTTGTTCTGAACGCAACCATTTCTGACCAGAAAGTAAGTACCATGTGTGACGTGTTCATGTGTCTGTGTTATTGACCAGAAAGTAAGTACCATGTGTGAACAACGACGTCACTCAAAGATCCTATAGAAGCGGCTTCTATTGATGGAAATGCAGAAACTAAATGTCCGGGGCTCAACCAGGACTAAACAAAGACTAAACCAGAACTAAACCAGGACTAAACCAGGACTAAACAAAGACTAAACCAGGACTAAACCAGGACTAAACAAAGACTAAACCAGAACTAAACCAGGACTAAACAAAGACTAAACCAGAACTAAACCAGGACTAAACAAAGACTAAACCAGGAATAGACCAGGGACTGAACCAGGGGCTAAACCAGGACTAAACCAGGACAAAACCAGCACAAAACCAGGACTAAACCAGAACTAAACCAGGACTAAACCAGGACTAAACAAAGACTAAACCAGGACTAAACCAGGACTAAACCAGCACTAAACCAGCACTAAAGCCAATGAAGCATCATCACTGCCAAATTACTGAAAAATACAACATGATGAGTTTTGATAATTTTATACATTTTACCTTTTTAAAAGCTTTGTTTAAGTGTCTTAATGGATTAGCCCCTGAAGTAATGTGTAAAAACATCCAAAGGTGCAGCAGTGAGGGTGTGCAGACTCGAGCTGCAGTCAGTGGGAGCTGCAGAGTGAGAAGGTGCCGGACGACTCTGGGTCAGTCTGCATTCTCAGTGAAGGCCTCACATCTGTGGAACTCTTTGCCGCTGGAGCTGAAGTCACAGTCGGACATTAGACTTTTCTCCACTAAACTGAAAAAGTGGCTTAAGGAAAATCAGAAGTGTGAGCACTAAACCTGAATGTAGTATGGACAAATGGGGTCAGTTATTTTTATTGATGTGTGGTTGTTCTTTTCTCCCCTTTTTAAAAAAAAAACTTGTTTCTTCGCTTTCTCCAAAAGCCTAACCAGGGACGGGGGCCGCAAATTAGCCTTTGGCTAGAAGCCTTGTGTACTTCACATCGGTTACCTGTGGGTGACAATGTTTTTTTGTACTGTCCCTGTCAAATAAATAAATAAATAAATAAATAAATAAACCAGGACTAAACCAGGACTAAACCAGGACCAAATCAGGACCAAATCAGGACCAAATCAGGACAAAACCAGGACTAAACCAGGACTATTTTATTTATTTAGAGGATAAGCCCCTTGAGATGAACCATCTCATTTTCGAGGGGGTCCTCGAGATTTCACAAAGTGCCAGATACAGCAAAACAGAAGCAAACAAAACAAAAATACAAGAAAATAATAAAAAATAAAATTGAAAAAAAGCAACCATAGAAAATACACACACACACACACACACACACACACAACACACACACACATACACACAACACACACACACACACACACACACATACACACACACACACACACACACACACAGGCAGAGAAGTCAGAGCAAATAGACAACGGCAAACTGTTCCAGACGGAGCTTTAAATTCAAATGCATGTTTTCCAGCTTCTTTATTCACTCTTGGGACGACAAAAAAAGATTGATTTGCATGATGCAAACTGTACGAGGATTGGAAAGGAATCAGATATTGTGTTAGATATTCTGGAAAACTGAGATAAATACATTTGAAAACAGGGCTGGACTGGGACAAAAAAGACGGCCCGGGCCTTTTTTCCTTTTTAGTGGCCCAGGCAACTCAAAAGGTTCAAGGAGCCACATTTGACAAAAAAATAAAAACAGCGTTGTATAAGGCTTATATGAAGGTAACAGGGGCTGAAGCTGTATTAGCTACATTAGTTTTTAAAATTATTTGTTAAACTGTTTTTGAAATAGTTAGACCTAGCATTTCTCGTTTGTGTGGTGCAGATATTACGCAGGCGTCTGTATTCGTCCCAGTCAGCAGTGAGCTTTGAATCCTTAAATTTAGACCAAGCCTTATCCCGTCGTCTGTACAGACTCATCAGTTCACCATTCACCCAGGGAAGATGGTTTCCTTTCATCCTAATTTCTCTGAAAGGTGCATGTTTGTTAATAACAGTTAAAAACTCAGAATAAAAATAGTCCCAGGCTTCATGTAAAGATGGTATAAGACCAAGTCTGTCCCAGTTGATATTCACAACATCAGAAAAAAAATTATTCAAGTTAAACAGTTTTGTCATTCGAATTCTTACGAGTTTAGGGGGAAGACGAGGGGGTTTCATTTTCCAAATACAGTAAAAAATGCAGTGATCACTGAAACAGTCAGCTAACACACCAGATTCAAGGAATCTATCTGGATGAGTCACTAAGATCCAGTCCAGAAGGGATTGGGATGTGGGGTAATACGTGTGGGATCATTTATCAACTGAGAAAAGTTGGAACTATTAAATGTGTTACGTTCTGTTGCAGAAGAGCGAGCTAACCAGTTTATGTTAAAGTCACCGAGGATGATAGGTTCTTTATTTCTGCCTAAAGAGGTGTGGATAGAACACTCTTTACAGAGTCAGAAGTGGAGTTGGGCGGTCTGTAAATATTGCCAATGATTAGATGTTTATTTTCATGAAGCATTAAATTAACAAACAGTCCTTCAAACTGAAATGGTTTCTCTGTTGGTAAAATCCGATGTGACTGAAAACTGGATGAAATGTAAGTGGCGACACCGCCTCCTCTAGAATCTGTCTGCTCTGTACAATGTGTAGTTGTCCAAAAAATATCATTGTCAGAGATCGCTGAAGAGAGCCATGTTTCAGATATTGTGATAACAGAGGGCTTGTTGTACATTACCCAGGCTCTAAGAAGATTGAATTTAGGTAAGAGACTCCTAATATTCAAATGAATGATTTTAATACCATTAACCATAATCAAAGAAAAAAAGAAAAAGAAAATATTAGAGAAAAATATACATTTTAGAGAAGATGCGCATGAGAACAGCCAGTCAATAACACACAAACACACACATACTCAAGCATACAATACCAGATGAAAAATGAAAATGAAGATGCTGATACATAAATGAAATAACACACACACATAAAAACAAAAATAGACTCTGTTTACAGTATCTGTCAGAAAAAATGTTAATGCCCATTGAAACCAAGACCAAAATCAAACGAGCCCCAGAACCCCCATTCTGAGGTCCCCAATTTATGAAGAAGACATTTCAAAATAGGATAAATTATCAAGGGGAAAATAATAATCAACCCATATGGTCCATGTGTCCACAGTTCATAGTAGAGTTCATGTCTCTTTTCATTTAATTTTAGTTCACAGAAGCAATCGTGTGTCAGGAAGGGACGGAAGGTACGTGAGAATATGATGAGACAGTGCAGCGATGCAAACCAGATCAGAGCTATTGAAAGTGTGGCGAGTGTGGTAAGCGTGTCGCGGCACCAGTCGGTGACGTCATCACGTGTGGAAGTAAACAAGTCCTCATGCGAGCAACTTGTTGATATGACGTGACTTATCAAAGAAGAGTTCAAGGAGATTCACTGCTTGGATATAAATTCCACCGCATCCGAAGGATTCTCAAAGAAATGGTGTTCGCCTCCCTTCTGCAGCTTAATGGTTGCAGGATATATCAGGAAGGCATTGAAACCTGCGCTCCGTGCCCGATACATCACTGGATAACAGGGACGTCTTCGTTTGGATGTGGTGTCACTATAATCCGAGACAAAGCAAAGGGTTTTCCCAGACAGCTGCACAGGAGTTTTTCTTGCCTCGTTCAGGATACAGCCTCTGTCCGTGTAGCGGAGACACTTAGCGATGATCGCTCTGGGAGAGGAGCCCTGTCGTGGCGGACCCAGGCGATGGGCTCGCATGAGCTCAGGAGGAGCCGCAGCTAATCCAGGTAACCACTTCGGAAGATTCGCTGTGAGGTAGGACAACATATTCCCACGTTCTTCACCTTCTTTGATGTTCAAAATACGGATGTTGTCACGTCTGCTTCTATCCTCAAGAGACACCAACTTAAGCTCCATTTGCAATAGAGAATCCGCTAGCTTCTCCAGAGTAGCCTCATTTTTGTGGACACGGGTGTCAATGGACGAAACAGCGACTCGCTGTGTCTCAATGTTTATCGCATGCTGAGATAAAGTATCTCTGATAGAGCCAAGTTGTTCTTCAAGGCGCTCAAATCTTTCCTTAGATTTGTCCTCTGCACGTTTGAAGAACTTCTCAAGTGCAGATTTGAGGTAGGCCTCCGTCAGCACACGGGTGGAGGTTTCAGCGTCCATCTGAGACTTGCTCATATTTGCTTTAGAGCGAGTGGATCCCGTCCAAAGCAGAAGAGAGCACAACAATAACCTGCGTATGGATGGCTTGTAGAAATAGATTAGACCAGGTTTAATAGTAAAAAGCACGGATTCAGATTCAGTTTATTTGCCATTTGCAGTAAAAAAAAAAACACATTGGAATACATTAGTAAAACGTCACCAGTGTGCACAGACAAATACAGACATAAAACAACATTAAAAGACAGAAATAAAACAAATAAAACAGTAAACAAATGTCACTGTGAAATTGATCGGCTAAAACAGTTTCAAAACAAGTGCAAATCATTAAAGTGCTCTGTTCAAACAGATAAGCACAGGGGGTTAGGCAGGGACACTTCCTACTCCGCCAACTTGTTTCTGACTAAACAAGGACTAAACCAGGACTAAATCAGGACTAAACCAGGACTAAACAAGGACTAAACCAGGACCAAATCAGGACTAAACCAGGACAAAATCAGGACTAAACCAGGACAAAACCAGGACTAAACCATGATAAAGAGTTGCTGGTCCTTGGTAAGTCCCACTCCTTGTATCAGCAGCTCACAGACACAGTGTCCTGAAGACATGGACAGAGCTCATACCAGGTGTAGATACCAGGTGTAGATACCAGGTGTAGATGATATCTGTGTGTTTGTGGACGTGACGCAGCCTGTGGTGAAGGCCTCTCCAACACTGAAGCTCTCTTCTTCTGTGTCTCAGGATCCTCCACAAACTTCAGTCTGGACCTGGTCCCAGATGTGAGTCCCTCAGGAGTGACCGGTCCAAGGATTTACCATGGGACTTCAGGACAGAGTGAGTCTCATGGACATAAGTGTCTCTGCCTCAGTCTCATGGACATAAGTGTCTCTGTCTCAGTCTCATGGACATACGTGTCTCTGTCTCATGGACATAAGTGTCTCTGTCTCATGGACATACGTGTCTCAGTCTCATGGACATAAGTGTCTCAGTCTCATGGACATAAGTGTCTCTGTCTCATGGACAAAAGTGTCTCTGTCTCATGGACATAAGTGTCTCTGTCTCATGGACATAAGTGTCTCTGTCTCATGGACATAAGTGACTCAGTCTCATGGACATAAGAGTCTCTGTCTCATGGACATAAGTGTCTCTGTCTCATGGACATAAGTGTCTCTGTCTCATGGACATAAGTGTCTCAGTCTCATGGACATAAGTGTCTCAGTCTCATGGACATAAGTGTCTCTGTCTCATGGACTTAAGTGTCTCAGTCTCATGGACATAAGTGTCTCTGTCTCAGTCTCATGGACATAATTGTCTCTGTCTCATGGGCATAAGTGTCTCTGTCTCATGGACATAAGTGTCTCTGTCTCATGGACATAAGTGTCTCAGTCTCATGGACATAAGTGTCTCTGTCTCATGGACATAAGTGTCTCTGTCTCATGGACATAAGTGTCTCTGTCTCATGGACATAAGTGTCTCTGTCTCATGGACATAAGTGTCTCAGTCTCATGGACATAAGTGTCTCTGTCTCATGGACTTAAGTGTCTCAGTCTCATGGACATAAGTGTCTCTGTCTCATGGACATAATGTCTCTGTCTCATGGACATAATTGTCTCTGTCTCATGGGCATAAGTGTCTCTGTCTCCTGGACATAAGTGTCTCTGTCTCCTGGACATAAGTGTCTCTGTCTCATGGACATAAGTGTCTCTGTCTCATGGACATAAGTGTCTCTGTCTCATGGACATAAGTGTCTCTGTCTCATGGACATAAGTGTCTCAGTCTCATGGACATAAGTGTCTCAGTCTCATGGACATAAGTGTCTCTGTCTCATGGACATAAGTGTCTCTGTCTCATGGACATAAGTGTCTCTGTCTCATGGACATAAGTGTCTCTGTCTCATGGACATAAGTGTCTCTGTCTCATGGACATAAGTGTCTCAGTCTCATGGACATAAGTGTCTCTGTCTCAGTCTCATGGACATAATTGTCTCTGTCTCATGGATATAAGTGTCTCTGTCTCATGAACATAAGTGTCTCAGTCTCATGGACATAATTGTCTCTGTCTCAGTCTCATGGACATAAGTGTCTCTGTCTCATGGACATAAGTGTCTCTGTCTCAGTCTCATGGACATAAGTGTCTCTGTCTCATGGACATAAGTGTCTCTGTCTCATGGACATAAGTGTCTCATGGACATAAGTGTCTCAGTCTCATGGACATAACTGTCTCAGTCTCAGTCTCATGGACATAAGTGTCTCTGTCTCATGGACATAAGTGTCTCTGTCTCAGTCTCATGAACATAAGTGTCTCCTCAGTCTCATGGACATAAGTGTCTCTGTCTCAGTCTCATGGACATAAGTGTCTCTGTCTCAGTCTCATGGACATAAGTGTCTCTGTCTCATGGACATAAGTGTCTCTGTCTCATGGACATAAGTGTCTCTGTCTCGTGGACATAAGTGTCTCTGTCTCATGGACATAAGTGTCTCAGTCTCATGGACATAAGTGTCTCTGTCTCATGGACATAAGTGTCTCAGTCTCATGGACATAAGTGTCTCTGCCTCAGTCTCATGGACATAAGTGTCTCAGTCTCATGGACATAAGTGTCTCAGTCTCATGTCTCAGTCTCATGGACATAAGTGTCTCTGTCTCATGGACATAAGTGTCTCTGTCTCATGGACATAAGTGTCTCTGTCTCATGGACATAAGTGTCTCTGTCTCATGGAAATAAGTGTCTCTGTCTCATAGACATAAGTGTCTCTGTCTCATGGACATAAGTGTCTCAGTCTCATGGACATAAGTGTCTCAGTCTCATGGACATAAGTGTATCTGTCTCTGTCTCGTGGACATAAGTGTCTCAGTCTCATGGACATAAGTGTCTCAGTCTCATGGACATAAGTGTCTCAGTCTCATGGACATAAGTGTCTCTGTCTCATGGACATAAGTGTCTCAGTCTCATGGACATAAGTGTCTCAGTCTCATGGACATAAGTGTCTCAGTCTCATGGACATAAGTGTCTCTGTCTCATGGACATAAGTGTCTCTGTCTCTCCACAGAGCGGCTGCAGATGTCTCCACTGGTCCGCACCATGGCTCTCACCTGGTCTCCATATTTAAGGTCTGTCATTCAGTCGTTTGTAGATGTTGAGCTGAAGGACTAGTTTCACACAGATGTGACTCATGTCCATGTGTCCTGTTCTCTCTTTATTATACACACACTACACAAAGCTTCAGACGCACAAAACAACACACACACAAACCTGTGACACACTCTGACTTCAGGAGAAAAGACTGGATTAGTCTTTATTGTCTGTGACAATTTGTCTTCAAGGTTCAAGGTGACTTTATTTGTACCCGCGGGTAGATTCTTTTTGCAGTTAAAAAAGAGAGACTCAAGAGATAAGTTAAAAATAAAATAAAATAATAATATTGATAATTATCCTGGGCGCCAATCCCACAAGTGTCACGCGGCGTACTCGCCGACGAATTGGCAGCCCAATCTGACCAGGATTACGTACAGAAAAGCTCATTAACCTCTTAACACCCACCGGCGCCGTTTTTATGTTTTTAAATGTTCTGCTGGCAATAGCAGATGTATTTTGAACACCAAACCCCCCAAAGCTCATTTTCTACATGAGCCATTGTCTCCAATCCACAGATAACAATCCAACAGCCAGAAAGGCTCTTTGAGCTAACTCATTTTGCACCTGTAAATGATCAAACTGTCCAAGAGATAATCTCCAGTCTGAGCTCCTCCACATGCAGCCTGGATGTACTACCCACTATATTTCTAAAGTCTGTTCTGAGCAGTCTGTTACCTTCACTCACACAGATAGTAAACACGTCCCTTGATTCTGGAATATTCCCAAAGGCCCTGAAAACTGCAGTCATCAGGCCCCTGCTAAAAAAGAGCAGTCTGGATGCTACGGTACTTAACAACTATCGTCCCATCTCAAATCTGCCATTTATGGGGAAAGTCCTTGAAAAAGTTGTCTACCTACAGCTTACTAGATTTCTTATAATCAACAACTCATTTGATATGTTTCAGTCCGGCTTTAGACCCCACCACAGCACTGAGACTGCTCTCGTCAAGGTTACAAATGATATCCGGCTGAACACTGACGCAGGCAAAGTCTCAATCCTAATCTTGTTAGATCTAAGTGCTGCCTTTGACACTGTCGACCATGAGATCCTCTTACAGAGACTAGAGGACTGGGTTGGTGTCGCTGGCACCGCCCTAAGTTGGTTTAGGTCTTACCTTGAAGACAGGAAATACTTTGTGGAGATTGGAAACTGTGTCTCAGATCATATGGCCCTGACCTGTGGAGTCCCACAGGGGTCGATCCTGGGACCTCTTCTGTTCAATCTCTACATGCTGCCGTTAGGTCAGTTAATACGCAGAAACAAAGTTTCCTATCATAACTATGCAGACGACACTCAGATCTATGTCTCACTGACTGCAGGAGAACATGGACCAGTGGACTCACTCCTTCACTGTATCCAACAGATCAGTGAGTGGATGCAAAACAACTTCCTTCAGCTAAACGCAGACAAAACTGAAATGATTGTCTTTGGTCCCCAGAAACAAAGAGAGAGCGTCATCTGTCATCTACAGTCTCTCTCCCTAAAACCTTCAAACAAGGTCAGAAATCTAGGGGTAATACTGGACTGAGACTTAAATTTTAATAGCCACATCAAATCAGTAACATCAGCAGCTTTTTACCATCTAAAAAACATTGCCAGGATCAAAAACATAGTGTCTAAAGCAGACTTGGAGATTCTTATCCATGCATTTGTCTCCAGTAGGTTAGACTACTGCAATGGCCTGCTCACAGGTCTGTCCAAACAGGCTGTAAAACAGCTGCAGTACATTCAAAATGCAGCAGCTCGAGTCCTGACTAGAACCAGGAAGTACGACCACATTAGTCCAGTCCTCAGGTCCCTGCACTGGCTTCCTGTGGCTCAGAGAATAGACTTTAAAACAGCTCTGCTTGTGTACAAGTCTCTCCATGGCCTCGCACCAAAATATATTAGTGACATGTTAGTCCCATATGAACCAGCCCGGACTCTGAGGAGCACAGGGACTGGACTCCTGCTGGGACTCTGAGGAGCACAGGGACTGGACTCCTGCTGGGACTCTGAGGAGCACAGGGACTGGACTCCTGTTAGTGCCCAGAGTCAGAACTAAACATGGGGAGGCTGCTTTTCAGATTCATGCTGCTAAAATCTGGAACAATCTTCCTGAAGATGTGAGACAGGCCTCCTCTCTGACAATGTTTAAAACCAGGTTAAAAACGGTGCTGTTTAGCTGTGCATACAACTGAGGGATTTTATATTTTTATCTTTCGTTTTAATGTTCTGTAATTATTTATGATTTTAATGCTATCTTGTTCAGCACTTTGAGTTGCCTTGTGTATGAATTGTGCTATACAAATAAACTCGCCTTGCCTTGCCTTGCCTTGCCTTGCCTACATTTATATACAGTGCCTTGCGAAAGTATTCGGCCCCCTTGAACCTTTCAACATTTCGCCACATTTCAGGCTTCAAACATAAAGATATAAAAAATATATTTTTTGTCATGAATAAACAACAAGTGGGACACAATCGTGAAGTGGAACAAAATTTATTGGATAATTTAAATTTTAAAAAAAATTAAAAACTGAAAAGGTTGGCCGTGCATTATTATTCGGCCCCTTTACTTTCAGTGCAGCAAACTCAGTCCAGAAGTTCAGTGAGGATCTTTGAATGATCCAATGTTTTCCTAAATGACGGATGATGATAAATAGAATGCACCTGTGTGTAATCAAGTCTCCGTATAAATGCACCTGCTCTTTGATAGTCTCAGGGTTCTGTTTAAAGCGCAGAGAGAACCATGAAGACAAAGGAACACACCAGGCAGGTCCGAGATACTGTTGTGGAGAAATGTAAAGCCGGATTTGGATACAAAAAGATTTCCCAAGCTTTAAACATCTCAAGGAGCACTGTGCAAGCAATTATATTGAAATGGAAGGAGTATCAGACCACTGCAAATCTACCAAGACCCGGCCGTCCCTCCAAACTTTCATCTCAAACAAGGAGAAGACTGATCAGAGATGCAGCCAAGAGGCCCATGATCGCTCTGGATCGCCCCACTTTTCAGTTTTTTATTTGTTAGAAAAGTTTAAATTATCCAACAAATTTCATTCCACTTCATGATTGTGTCCCACTTGTTGATTCATGACAAAAAATTAAAATTTTATATCTTTATGTTTGAAGCCTGAAATGTGGCGAAATGTTGAAAGGTTCAAGGGGGACGAATACTTTCGCAAGGCACTGTACAAGTGTAAACTACACCAGACTTTGCATTCAAAAGATATAACACATAATGTGGGCACGAAATAAATCAATTCCGAAATAGTTTTTTACCTTTGGGCTTGTGCTGTACAAATAAATCAGCTCTCCTCCCAGCTTGCAATACATCATTCTCTCTGGAACAGTCAAAAAGAAAATTATATCCACTTGTATTACCCAAAGTAAAATCCATTCTGCAGAAATAATCAAAAAATTTGCATTTATCTTTAGCAAAAAAAACGAAAAAAACGGACTTTTAGCTTTGTTTTTCACCCAAACATCTGGTATCCACGTGTTCCTTAGCTCCTTATCTTTCAAATGAGACTATTCCCGAAAAGCTAGACCAATTTGTGGGTCTGCAAGAGCTCCCGTGAGTACAGCTAGCGCTGCTGTTTGCACATGGATCACTGATCTTGGTTGTTGTCCCTACTTGTTTGCATTTACTTCCGGGATTTTTGATTGACATGTCCGTGTAGCCAATGGAGCAAGGGGTGGGACAATGGTGTCCTGTCTTATGTTGTGCCCGTAGAATTGTGCGTAATGGCAGCCTAAAGACGCTCTCGAAGCTGCAATGAATTTACACTCATAAAAAAATAACTTTGACATAAAAAAATAAAATAAACAAATAGATTAGTAACTTATAAGTACCAATAATAAAAAATATTGTTTTTATGATGATTAAATGTCAGTAAAGATATTTGGCACAATTTGGCACATGTGCCAAATTGTGCCAAATGTGCACTACTTGATGAAAAGGAGAAACTGCATAAAAACTATAAAACTTAGAAGTCTGAAACTTTACACAGTTGTTGTCAACAACACAATGACCACAGGGTTTGAATATTGTGAACTTACAATGAAGTATGCCTTTTTTAGGGCCTTTAGAAATTGAAAATGTTAGGCGAGGCTAAAAAAATTTTTTTTTCCCCAAACTTCAAAGGATGCAGAGGGAAATAGGAATGACAAACATTATTTTAGTGTTTTTTTACATAAATCAGAAGACTCTAGCTTTAAAATGATGCATCACACAAGCATGTGAGATGTAAGATGTGTTTTTAAATAAGCAAAGACATTTGGGTATGCCCAACATTTGTGCACAAGCCAAAATGAGGCGGGTGTTACGAGGTTAATAGGATAAAGTGCTCCCCTAGTGGTCACGTCTGGGACATGCACTCTCTGCGTAGGATAGTATTTTGCTCTCACGGACGTAAAGAATTCATTGTGCGACTTTGGTGAGGATTGGAAAAGTTAAGGTCAGAAGCCTTCCATAGGTGGCGCTATAGAGTCATATAAGGTGTGTATTTTCACACCATTATGCTCAGGCCATTACCAACTGTTAGCTCTGTTCAGCTCTGTAGGTCTGAGCCTGTGGCCCTCAGGGCTCAGCGAAAACGGCCAAAACAAAGGCCTTATTGGCCATGGCGAGGGACGAAAACGGTGATGATTTTCTAACCTTTTTTTGATGATTGTATAACTTCCATCCATCCAGATTAGGAAATGACGTGGTAGAACTCTGTGTGATGAAAAACCAGGGACTAGTTCAAAGTAAAAAAGGAAAAGTCAAATTAGCGGCGAAACTTCAGCCCATCATGGCCGACTTCCTGTTGGTCCCAGAGTGAGGCCCAGAGAGAGTTTTATGCTCGTCTCATAGAGATCTATCAGTGATCTGAATTTCATGTACCTACTCCAAAATATGCATGCCTGGCTCCCACAGGCTTTGCAAATTTGACTTTTCCAGGGGGCGCTATCGAATCGCCTTTTGTCGTTTTTGACCCCCCATGTTCAGACTTTCGTGCCTGTCTTCAGGGTCAAAAATCAAATTGATCTTGCGGAAAAATAATAATATGAAACCGACGAATGACAGTAGGCCTCCCCAATACAATAATAATAAGGTAAAAGTGGTCCAAAGGTACAAAGTCAGGACTCAGGAGCACAGGTACACTACAGGCAGATCCTCTGTACCTGTGTGCTGTAGGACAGGGACACTACAGGCAGCGATCCTCTGTACCTGTGTGCTGAAGCACAAGGACACTACAGGCAGATCCTCTGTACCTGTGTGCTGTAGCACAGGGACACTACAGGCAGCGATCCTCTGTACCTGTGTGCTGTAGCACAGGGACACTACAGGCAGAGATCCTCTGTACCTGTGTGCTGTAGCACAGGGACGTTACAGGCAGCGATCCTCTGTACCTGTGTGCTGTAGCACAGGGACACTACAGGCAGCGATCCTCTGTACCTGTGTGCTGAAGCACAAGGACACTACAGGCAGCGATCCTCTGTACCTGTGTGCTGTAGCACAGGGACACTACAGGCAGCGATCCTCTGTACCTGTGTGCTGTAAGCACAGGGACACTAAAGGCAGCGATCCTCTGTACCTGTGTGCTGTAGCACAAGGACACTACAGGCAGCGATCCTCTGTACCTGTGTGCTGCAGCACAGGGACACTACAGGCAGATCCTCTGTACCTGTGTGCTGTAGCACAGGGACACTACAGGCAGATCCTCTGTACCTGTGTGCTGTAGCACAGGGACACTACAGGCAGTGATCCTCTGTACCTGTGTGCTGTAGCACAGGGACACTACAGGCAGTGATCCTCTGTACCTGTGTGCTGTAGCACAGGGACACTACAGGCAGATCCTCTGTACCTGTGTGCTGTAGCACAGGGACACTACAGGCAGTGATCCTCTGTACCTGTGTGCTGCAGCACAGGGACACTACAGGCAGATCCTCTGTACCTGTGTGGTGTAGCACAGGGACACTAAAGGCAGTGATCCTCTGTACCTGTGTGCTGCAGCACAGGGACACTACAGGCAGATCCTCTGTACCTGTGTGCTGTAGCACAGGGACACTAAAGGCAGTGATCCTCTGTACCTGTGTGCTGTAGCACAGGGACACTACAGGCAGATCCTCTGTACCTGTGTGCTGTAGCACAGGGACACTAAAGGCAGTGATCCTCTGTACCTGTGTGCTGTAGCACAGGGACACTACAGGCAGCGATCCTCTGTACCTGTGTGCTGTAGCACAGGGACACTACAGGCAGATCCTCTGTACCTGTGTGCTGTAGCACAGGGACACTACAGGCAGTGATCCTCTGTACCCAGGCCCGTCGCAAGGGGGGTGCGAGGCCCTGCCCTGACACCTTTTTCCCAGATCTCAGGTCAGTTTTCCCGGTTATAATCTTTGATTTTAGCACAGAGATCAGCACGCCGCAGCCGAGTGTCCTCGCTCCAATGCAGCGTCGGGCGCACACACACTCTGTTACGGAGCTTGGCATTACGATATTGGTCGCGGTCTTTTTAGCTGACATGGCTCTTTCGTCCTGTGGCAAAATGGCATCAACCCAAAAGATTGAGCCAAAAGGAGTCTTCTTCTTCTAATAGTTAGATTACGGCAAAATGCGCCAAAATGACTTTGAGGCGGAGTCAATTTTGTTGTATTTTTTTTCTCATCAAATAACGTCTTTACCATGTTTCCACACACTGACAACACACACTCCTCCTCCTCCACACACTGACAACACACACTCCTTCTCCTCCACACACTGACAACACACACTCCTTCTCCTCCACACACTGACAACACACACTCCTTCTCCTCCACACACTGACAACACACACTCCTTCTCCTCCACACACTGACAACACACACACTCCTCCTCCACACACTGACAACACACACTCCTTCTCCTCCACACACTGACAACACACACTCGTTCTCCTCCACACACTGACAACACACACTCCTTCACCTCCACACTCTGACAACACACACTCCTCCTCCACACACACACAATACACACTCCTTCTCCTCCACACTCTGACTACACACACTCCTTCTCCTCCACACACTGACAACACACACTCCTTCTCCTCCACACACTGACAACACACACTCCTTCTTCTCCTCCACACACTGACAACACACACTCCTTCTCCTCCACACACTGACAACACACACTCCTTCTCCTCCACACACTGACAACACACACTCCTTCTCCTCCACACACTGACAACACACGCTCCTTCTCCTCCACACACTGACAACACACACTTCTCCTCCACACACTGACAACACACACTCCTTCTCCTCCACACACTGACAACACACACTCCTTCTCCTCCACACACTGACAACACACACACTCCTTCTCCTCCACACACTGACAACACACACTCCTTCTCCTCCACACACTGACAACACACACTCCTCTTCCACACACTGACAACACACACTCCTTCTCCTCCACACACTGACAACACACACTCCTTCTCCTCCACACACTGACAACACACACTCCTTCTCCTCCACACACTGACAACACACACTCCTTCTCCTCCACACACTGACAACACACACTCCTTCTCCTCCACACACTGACAACACACACTCCTCTTCCACACACTGACAACACACACTCCTTCTCCTCCACACACTGACAACACACACTCCTTCTCCTCCACACACTGACAACACACACTCCTTCTCCTCCACACACTGACAACACACACTCCTTCTCCTCCACACACTGACAACACACACTCCTTCTCCTCCACACAATGACAACACACACTCCTTCTCCTCCACACACTGACAACACACACTCCTTCTCCTCCACACACTGACAACACACACTCCTTCTCCTCCACACAATGACAACACACACTCCTTCTCCTCCACACACTGACAACACACGCTCCTTCTCCTCCTCCACACACTCTGACCACAACAAGGCGTTACCCAAAATGCACTGCACTCACAGTGGCCCTCATGTATGAAGCTTGCGTACGGCCAAATCAGGTGTAACTGAGGCGTACGCAAAATATTTACACTTTTCCGCATTTATCAATCTGGACATTTATTCTGGATCAGAATCAGTTTATTTGCCATTTGCAGAAAAAAACGACATTGGAACACAGGAGACACCGGGGGCACCAACACAACAAAGCACACACACAGAATAAAAATAGCTAGACACAGTGAGGCAAATATAAAACTCTTAAAAGCATTATTAAGACGCTACGAAGGAGGAGCTCCAAGAGAAGCAGATCTCAGGACGCTCTGTTCAGTCTTATAACCGCCTGAGGGAAGAAGCTATTGGCATGGCGGGTGGTCCTGCACCGCACGGACCGGAATCTTCTCCTCGAGGGAAGAGGCTGGAACAAGGCCGCTCCAGGATGACCAGAGGAGTCCTTTACAATCCTCAGGGCTCGGTTCAAGAGTCTGCTCTCATAACGAGCCTCCAGAACGGGCTTCTCACGGTTCACAGTCCTCTGAGCAGAACCACTTTGTTCAGGGCTCTCTTTTCTTTGGCTGTGATGAACCACAGTGATCGCACCAGCATCAGGCTTTCTATGGTGCAGCGGTAGAAGTTCAGCAAAATCTTAGAGTTGTTTGTAAATTCTCTATGTTTCCACAGAAAGTATAGACGTTGGCGAGCTTTCTTAACAATAAGGTTAGACCAAGAAACTTACTCTCCTCAACAACCTCCACCTGAGAGTTTTCAATGACCACAGGAGAGAGAGAGAGACCACGACTGCACAGGTGAGTGGGAGAGACCACGACTGCACAGGTGAGTGAGAGAGACCACGACTGCACAGGTGAGTGGGAGAGACCACAACTGCACAGGTGAGTGAGAGACCACGACTGCACAGGTGAGTGGGAGAGACCACGACTGCACAGGTGAGTGAGAGAGACCACGACTGCACAGGTGAGAGAGAGAGACCACGACTGCACAGGTGAGTGAGAGAGAGAGGGACCACGACTGCACAGGTGAGTGGGAGAGACCACGACTGCACAGGTGAGTGGGAGAGACCACGACTGCACAGGTGAGTGGGAGAGACCACGACTGACAGGAGGGCCACGACTGCACAGGTGAGGGGAGAGACCACGACTGCACAGGTGAGTGGGAGAGACCACGACTGCACAGGTGAGTGGAGAGACCACGACTGCACAGGTGAGTGAGAGAGACCACGACTGCACAGGTGAGTGAGAGAGACCACGACTGCACAGGTGAGTGAGAGAGACCACGACTGCACAGGTGAGTGAGAGAGACCACACTGGGTGAGTGAGAGAGACCACGACTGCACAGGTGAGTGGGAGAGACCACGACTGCACAGGTGAGAGAGAGAGACCACGACTGCACAGGTGAGAGAGAGAGACCACGACTGCACAGGTGAGTGAGAGAGAGAGGGACCACGACTGCACAGGTGAGAGAGAGAGACCACGACTGCACAGGTGAGTGGGAGAGAGACCACGACTGAACAGGTGAGTGGGAGAGACCACGACTGCACAGGTGAGTGAGAGAGACCACGACTGCACAGGTGAGTGGGAGAGAGAGTGACCACGACTGCACAGGTGAGTGGGAGAGAGAGTGACCACGACTGCACAGGTGAGTGGGAGAGAGAGAGACCACGACGGCACAGGTGAGTGGGAGAGAGACCACGACTGCACAGGTGAGTGTGAGAGAGAGGGACCACGACTGCACAGGTGAGTGGGAGAAAGAGGGACCACGACTGCACAGGTGAGTGGGAGAGAGAGTGACCACGACTGCACAGGTGAGTGGGAGAGAGAGTGACCACGACTGCACAGGTGAGTGGGAGAGAGAGAGACCACGACGGCACAGGTGAGTGGGAGAGAGAGAGACCACGACGGCACAGGTGAGTGGGAGAGAGAGTGACCACGACTGCACAGGTGAGTGGGAGCGAGAGAGACCACGACGGCACAGGTGAGTGGGAGAGAGAGTGACCACGACTGCACAGGTGAGTGGGAGAGAGAGAGACCACGACTGCACAGGTGAGTGGGAGAGAGAGAGACCACGACTGCACAGGTGAGTGGGAGAGAGAGAGACCACGACGGCACAGGTGAGTGGGAGAGAGAGAGACCACGACGGCACAGGTGAGTGGGAGAGAGAGAGACCACGACTGCACAGGTGAGTGGTCACCTGGGATTCAATGGTGGTGTCGTCTGCATATTTAATGATCAAGTTTGAGTCAGAAGAAGCAACACAGTCATGGGTGTACAATGTGAAGAGCAGAGGACTCAGAATACACCCCTGAGGAGATCCAGTGCTCACAAACGCTTCATCTGAGAGACGGCCACCGATTCTAACTCTCTGAGATCTGCTGATGAGAGAGCTGTAAATCCATTTACACATGGCTTCGCTCAGGCCGAGGGATCTGAGCTTTTCAACCAGTTTACCTGGGACTAGACAGTTAAAAGCAGAGCTGTAATCAATGAACAGCATTCTGGCCAGAGATTTAGCATTGTCCAGATGACTGTACACAGAGTTCAGTGCAAGACAGATCAGCTCTTCAACGCTCCTGTTTTCTTTGTACCCAAACTGGAGCGGGTCGGTACCGGAGGGGATCTGGCTCTAAACAAAGTCCAGTACAAAGTCCAGTATAAGCCGCTCAATGCCGTCTGGGCATGCGGCTTTTCAGGTCGGGGTTCTGGACAGGACCCGCTGCACTTCCTCCTGCGTCACTGTAAAGGCTGCTTGGTCTATACAGTCAAGGAAGACGACAGGTGAGGGATCAGCGGCTTCAAAGTGACAGTAAAAGTTCTTGAGCTCGTTGGGCAGAGCTTTGTCAGCGATGACAGTTCTGCCTGCGCTCGGCTTCCAGGCTGTGATGGTCTGAATGCCCTTCCACTTTTGCCTGGAATCGTTCTCTATGCAGTGTCCTTCTTGTCGCTCTCCATAGGACCGCTTAGCGTGTTTAATAGAGCGTTCTAAAGCACATCTGGATAGTTTGTAAGCCAATGCATCGCCAGATTGAAAAGCTAACGCACGCTCACGGATTCTACTTTTTACTTCCGAAGTCATCCATAGGTTTTGACCACAATGCTCTTTTATTATTTTCCGTGGGACACAGCAATCAATACAAAAGTCAATATATCCCGTAACAGCATCACAGTATTCGTCCACATTTTCCGAGTGGAAAACAGACCAGTCCGTGGCGTCAAAACAGCCCTGCAGCTTTAAGTTTATGTCGTCTGACCAGCACTGAACAGAACGAAAGGATGGTTTCTGTAGCTGGCTCTTCTGCATATATGATGGCAGAAGCAGCACTGAAGAGTGGTCAGACCTCCCGAGCACTGGTCTGAGGTAAGACCTAAAGGCCCCTTTAATATTACTATAGCAGTGATCCAGAATGCGAGAGCACCTTGTAGGCATAGACACATGCTGGTAAAAGTTATGGAGCACTGACTTTAAGTTACATTTGTTGAAGTCACCCGCTGCAATTATGGCTGCTTTGGGATAAGCACCTTCGCATTTATGCAAAATGTCACTCAAGTCATTTAGCACGTCAGCGGAGTCCGCTCGGGGGTGAATGTAAACAGCACAGAAACACAGCAGTCAGTTCCCGGGGCAGAAAGAAAGGGCGGCATTTTAGCACAATATATTCTAGGTTAGCTGAACAAAAAATGTTAATCACAACATTGTCTGTGCTCCAGCACTGGTTGAGCAGGATACATTCCCCACCTTCTCTGTTTTTTCCCGTGGACTCCTTATTCCTGTCCATACGGAAAACGGAGAAGCCAGGTGGCAGAAACGCAGAGTCCTGAACACCGCTGTGGAGCCAAGTCTCCGTCAGACAGAACGCAGCTCATTCTGCGGCCTCTCTCTGGACCCGGATTCGGCTCGCGAGGTCATCTGATTTGTTCAGAAGGGACTGCATGTTCGCTAAATATATGGACGGCAGCGGGGACCTGGAGGTACGGCTCCGCACGAGCAGACCAGCTCGCTTTCCTCGGAGGCGACGCTTCCTCCTTCGGCCCCAGGCTGCCTGGACTCCGCGGTGCGAGTGGTGGAGATGCCCACCCCACTCGCTCTGATCCCAGCTAGAGCCGTAGCGCTGCCCGCCGGTCCGGGTAGGACAATCACCGAAGTCCTTGCATCGGAGTTCGGGCAGAACTTCGCCACAAACTCTGTCTCCAATACTCAAAAGATTCTCACGGTCGTACGCCACTGTATCCATCCCCATGCACACAAGACAGACAGAAAAAGACAGGGTGCAACCCAGAGCTCGAGCTACGCTGCCATTCACCAATGCCATCTTGGAGATTTATGGAAAATAAAATGTAAAATAGGACTTACTTCATGCACAGAGGATTTGAGTAAGCGACCACATATCTTGTCAGGACCGAGGTTTTTGTTTGGCTTAATTATAGAGAGGGCTTTTATGACATCCTCAGTAAAGGTAAAGGTGCACTTTTATTAATCCCCGTAGGGCAATTCAATCCTCTGCATTCTCTGACCCATCCTGATGCCACTAAGGCGTACGTCAGGAGCAGTGGTCGCTGTAGAACAGCGTCTGGGAACCCATCTCCAGATGTTGATGCTCTGGGTCAGGACCGGAGCTGGAGGATTTTAACCTAGTGAGCATGTTTTTAGTGGTAAGGGAAACCGGAGTACCCGGAGGAAACCTACTCAGGCAGAAAGACCCTGTTCCGACCGGGATTCGAACCCAGGACCTTCTTGCTGAGAGGCGAGAGTGCTATCCACTCAGCCACCGTGTCAACAAGATCATGTTTCAAATAAAGATTTTCCCAACTAAAGTCAAAAGAGTCCAAACGGCAGCAAAACTCATGAAAGTAATTCACAGTTAGATATAAAGCCCTCTAAAAATATGTTATCTTTCGCCTGGCCATTTTGGAGCCAGCATTGATGTTCATGCTTGTCCAGGCTGAACCATGTTGTTGCTGCCTCTGGTCCCTCTCTGCTCTCTCTCTCTGGTCTCTCTCTCTGGTCTCTCTCTGGTCTCTCTCTCCGGTCACTCTCTGGTCTCTCTCTGGACTCTCTCCGGTCTCTCTCTCTGGTCTCTCTCTGGTCTCTCTCTCTGGTCTCTCTCTGGTCTCTCTCTGGTCTTTCTCTGGTCTCTCTCTGGTCTCTCTCTGGTCTCTCTCCGGTCTCTCTCTGGTCTCTCTCTCTGGTCTCTCTCTGGCCTCTCTCTCTGCTCTCTCTCTCTGGTCTCTCTCTGGTCTCTCTCTGGTCTCTCTCTGGTCTCTCTCCGGTCTCTCTCCGGTCTCTCTCTCTGGACTCTCTCCGGTCTCTCTCTCTGGTCTCTCTCTGGTCCTTCTCTAGTATCTCTCTGGTCTCTCTCTGGTCTCTCTCTGGTCTCTCTCCGGTCTCTCTCTGGTCTGTCTCTGGTCTCTCTCTGGTCTCTCTCTGGTCTCTCTCTGGTCTCTCTCTGGTCTCTCTCTGGTCTCTCTCCGGTCTCTCTCTGGTCTCTCTCTGGTCTCCTCCTTGTGTCAGTAAGGTGTGTTGATGGTTGCAGAGAACGGCACAGCGCCCTCTAACCTCTCTGAGGCACACAGCGGGCACAGAGGGGGGTTTCTCAGCTGTGTGGAGCAGGAGGAGATCCTGAACCTGGGCTTCACCATCGGCTCCTTCCTGCTCAGCGCCGCCACGCTCCCCCTCGGTCTTCTAATGGACAAGTACGGACCAAGACCACTCCGCCTCATCGGCAGGTCAGTGCGAGACCAGAGCGAGACCAGAGGGAGACCAGAGGGAGAGCACAGGGAGAGCAGAGAGGGACCAGAGAGAGCAGAGAGAGAGCAGAGAGAGAGCAGAGAGAGACCAGAAGGAGACCAGAGGGAGACCAGAGGAAGACCAGAGCGAGACCAGAGCGAGACCAGAGCGAGACCAGAGCGAGACCAGAGCGAGACCAGAGAGAGACCAGAGAGAGACCAGAGAGAGACCAGAGGGAGACCAGAGAGAGACCAGAGAGAGACCAGAGGGAGACCAGAGGGAGACCAGAGGGAGACCAGAGGGAGACCAGAGCGAGACCAGAGCGAGACCAGAGCGAGACCAGAGCGAGACCAGAGCGAGACCAGAGCGAGACCAGAGCGAGACCAGAGAGAGACCAGAGAGAGACCAGAGGGACCAGAGAGAGACCAGAGAGAGACCAGAGGGACCAGAGAGAGACCAGAGAGAGACCAGAGAGAGACCAGAGGGAGACCAGAGGGAGACCAGAGGGAGACCAGAGAGAGACCAGAGGGAGACCAGAGGGAGATCAGTGGGAGACCAGTGGGAGACCAGAGCGAGAACAGAGCGAGAACAGAGGGAGACCAGAGGGAGACCAGAGGGAGACCAGAGGGAGACTAGAGGGAGAGAAGAGAGAGACCAGACAAAGACTAATGACCAGAGAAACAATAGGTACCAGAGAGAGACCAGAACGAGACCACAGAGGGACCAGAGATGATGAAGAACTACCACAAAACACATGTTAAAGAGGAAATACCAGTGAGAATACCAGGTGGAAATGACTTAATGTTGTTTCTTTCAGTTCATGTTTTGCAGCGTCCTGCGCGATGATCGCAACTGCTGCATACAAACCAGAAGGTGAGAGACCAGAGAGAGACTAGAGAGAGAGACCAGAGAGAGAGACCAGAGAGAGACCAGAGAGAGAGACCAGAGAGAGACCAGAGAGAGACTAGAGAGAGAGACCAGAGAGAGAGACCAGAGAGAGACCAGAGAGAGAGACCAGAGAGAGACCAGAGAGAGACCAGAGAGAGACCAGAGGGAGACTAGAGAGAGAGACCAGAGAGAGACCAGAGAGAGACTAGAGAGAGAGACTAGAGAGAGAGACCAGAGAGAGACCAGAGAGAGACTAGAGAGAGAGACTAGAGAGAGAGACCAGAGAGAGACCAGAGAGAGACCAGAGGGAGACTAGAGAGAGAGACTAGAGAGAGACCAGAGAGAGACTAGAGAGAGAGACCAGAGGGAGACTAGAGAGAGAGACCAGCGTGAGACCAGAGAGAGACCTGTAGGAGACCAGAGGGAGAGAGTCCTTCCTGGTCTTTCATGTATTTATAAACTTTTCTCTTTGTCTCAGTTTTGTCGATGCTCATCTTTTTCGCCGTTTCCTTCAATGGTTTCGGAGGAATCTGTTTGACCTTCACTTCCCTCACGGTGAGAACTCACAGGGAAAGACGGGCGTGTTGTTCAGACCTGTGTCAGCAGTGTGTGCGTCTGTTTGTGTGTTTGTGTGTGTCTGTGTGTGTGTGTGTGTGTGTGTGTGTGTGTCTGTGTGTGTGTGTCTGTGTGTGTGTGTGTGTCAGGACGACCTGACACGGACAGTTTTACTTGTATTTAGACTTTTCACCTACAAACAGAGAGAGACCAGAGAGAGACCAGAGAGAGACCAGAGAGAGACCGGAGAGAGACCAGAGAGAGACCAGAGAGAGACCAGAGAGACCAGAGAGAGACCAGAGAGACCAGAGAGAGACCAGAGAGAGACCAGAGAGAGACCCTTCCAAAACCCCTTGTTGCCTTGAACTTTACCCAGGCTCCTGGTCTTGTCTCTGGTCTGTTCTCTGGAATGGTCTCTGGTCTGGTCTCTGGTCTGGTCTCTGGTCTGTTCTCTGGTCTGGTCTCTGATCTGGTCTCTGGTCTGTTCTCTGGTCTGGTCTCTGGTCTGGTCTCTGATCTGGTCTCTGGTCTGGTCTCTGGTCTGTTCTCTGGTATGGTCTCTGATCTGGTCAGGTGTGTGTCTTGGAAAGCCCTGAGTCCCGTGTTGTTCCGAGGGACAGTCTAAATATTGCCGTGAGCCTGGACCAATGGCAGGTCCGGGTCCCACCACACCCCCCTGGTCCCGTCCACATGGTCCACATTCTCAGCCTTATCTCTGGTGTTTGTAAATAGAAGCTTATGACCTGTTTCTGGTCTTCTGCTGTCTGTTCTTGCTTTTGTGATGTTTACTTTTGGAAAACAAAACGTATAGACCCAGGACTGAGGCTGTAGACCCAGGACTGAGGCTGCAGACCCAGGACTGAGGCTGTAGACCCAGGACTGAGGCTGTAGACCCAGGACTGAGGCTGTAGACCCAGGACTGAGGCTGTAGACCCAGGACTGAGGCTGTAGACCCAGGACTGAGGCTATAGACCCAGGACTGAGGCTGTAGACCCAGGACTGAGGCTGTAGACCCAGGACTGAGGCTGCAGACCCAGGACTGAGGCTGTAGACCCAGGACTGAGGGGGATAGCTGGTGAATAGCAATAAACAGACTACAGCTGTCAGTATTAATGAGGACAGTGCTGTTCCCAGACCTCTCCAGCAGGGGGCTCCATGACCTCTGCTTCAGTGAATTTTATCATAAATGGTTTGTTCTTTGATAATTTAAAGTTTTGGGAGTGACCTTCAGTTGTTTACCTTTACTCGAGTGGCTGCTGCTGGTACTACTAGACCAGAGAGACCAGAGAGAGACCAGAGAGAGACCAGAGAGAGACCAGAGAGAGACCAGAGAGAGACCAGACTGAGACCAGACTGAGACCAGAGAGACCAGAGAGACCAGAGAGATGCTGGAAAGTTAAAGAGGAGGATGAGAGCGAGAGGAAAGAATGTGGAAGTAGAGACCGCATCATGGCCTCAGATGAACTGAACACAAAACAAACTGCCTCAGTCTCTGCTTCAGTCTCTGCTTCAGTCTCTGCTTCAGTCTCTGCCTCAGTCTCTGCTTCAGTCTCTGCCTCAGTCTCTGCTTCAGTCTCTGCTTCAGTCTCTGCTTCAGTCTTTGCTTCAGTCTCTGCTTCAGTCTCTGCTTCAGTCTCTGCCTCAGTCTCTGCTTCAGTCTCTGCTTCAGTCTCTGCCTCAGTCTCTGCGTCAGTCTCTGCCTCAGTCTTTGCTTCAGTCTCTGCCTCAGTCTCTGCTTCAGTCTTTGCTTCAGTCTCTGCTTCAGTCTCTGCTTCAGTCTCTGCCTCAGTCTCTGCTTCAGTCTCTGCTTCAGTCTCTGCTTCAGTCTCTGCTTCAGTCTCTGCTTCAGTCTCTGCTTCAGTCTCTGCCTCAGTCTCTGCTTCAGTCTCTGCTTCAGTCTCTGCTTCAGTCTCTGCTTCAGTCTCTGCTTCAGTCTCTGCTTCAGTCTCTGCCTCAGTCTCTGCTTCAGTCTCTGCTTCAGTCTCTGCTTCAGTCTCTGCTTCAGTCTCTGCTTCAGTCTCTGCTTCAGTCTCTGCTTCAGTCTCTGCCTCAGTCTCTGCCTCAGTCTCTGCTTCAGTCTCTGCTTCAGTCTCTGCCTCAGTCTCTGCTTTAGTCCTGCTTTAGTCCTGCTTTAGTCCTGCTTTAGTCCTGCTTTAGTCCTGCTTTAGTCCTGCTTTAGTCCTGCTTTAGTCCTGCTTTAGTCCTGCTTTAGACCTGCTTTAGATGTTATGGGTTGCGTGTTGGACCCCAAAGCAGACACAGACTGAGCACGATTCAAGGAAAGTATTTTACTTACAAAAATTAAATAACAAAAACACAAGACAGGCAGTGGTGACATCCGGAGCTGGTCCGGAAAAAGGGAGACCTGAACACAGTAACAAAAAACCCATACCCAAACCCTGTCCACCAGGTGGCAGTATACTTAAATAAGCCACAGTTAAAATACATGTCTTTACTCATCTTTTGGTGAATCATTGTCACTTTTCTCCATCCCACGTATGAAGTGAGCGACTTGAGCTGGCGTTTCCAACAGATGCGTGCGACCACCACAGGTCACTGGGAGACGGGCTGGATATATGATTCTGTATCCAACATTTTTAGCTCGGAGGATCTTCTTGACCTCGCTGTAATCCTGCTGCAATCTATGGACTTCAGGCGACACGTCCGGGAAGAACATCACCTGCCTGGATTTATAGAGGGCTTTCCCTTCTTCCTGGCAGCGATTTGGACCAGCGTTTTATCTTGGAAGTTTAAACACTTCATGATGACGGGACGTGGAGGCCTCTCCTTGTCGATGAAGCTGACAGAGCTGGGAAGCCGATGGCAGCGCTCCATGATAAGTGGGGTTCGTCGCGGTCCCAGCTCCAGAACCTCGGCCAGGCACCTTTCCATGAATCCACACGGATCCGCTCCCTCCGCTCCCTCGGGAAGACCTTTCAGCCTCAAGTTGGATCTCCGGCTCCTGTTTTCTTGATGGTCCACTTTAGAGGTGACGTCTTTATTTGGCTTTGGAGTTTGTTAACCGTAGTTTTGAGGGTTCCTACTGTGTTTTCATGATGAGAGATTCGTTGCTTGCGTCAGCCTCTTAAAGCTCTCATCTAGATGGGTTCTTATCCCTTGGACCACTGACAGGACATGATCAGTTTTAGCTGTAAAATCAGTCCTCAGACCCACTTTGTCCAACTTTAAATCCGTGATTGCTTTTAGAATTTGGTTGGAGCCCGGTTGTGACTCTTGAAACTCCTGGTCTCTTGATGCCGTGGCGGTCGCTTCATGGTTTGCTTCAATCCCTTTTTCCTCCCTTTGGTGTTTGACGTTGTTCATTTCCACTAAAGTCGTGAGATTTGTAGTTTTCAGAGGTTTTCAGCGTCGTTTTTACAGAGATTTTTACAGTTCAGAGTGAGGGGACAGGGGGGCGTGGCCTGTCTGTTATTACAGGAAGTGAGACTTTTACTGATGGACCAGAGAGAGACCAGAGAGAGACCAGAGAGAGAGACCAGAGAGAGAGACCAGAGAGAGACCAGAGAGAGACCAGAGAGAGACCAGAGAGAGGCCAGAGAGAGACCAGAGAGAGACCAGAGAGAGGCCAGAGAGAGACCAGAGAGAGACCAGAGAGAGACCAGAGAGAGACCAGAGAGGGACCAGAGAGAGACCAGAGAGAGACCAGAGAGAGACCAGAGAGAGACCAGAGAGAGAGACCAGAGAGACACCAGAGAGAGACCAGAGAGAGAGACCAGAGAGGGGGGGACCAGAGAGAGAACAGAGAGAGACCAGAGAGAGAACCAGAGAGAGAGACCAGAGAGAGAGACCAGAGAGAGACCAGAGAGAGACCAGAGAGAGACCAGAGAGAGACCAGAGAGAAAGACCAGAGAGAGACCAGAGAGAGAGGGACCAAAGAGAGACCGGAGAGAGACCAGAGAGAGACCAGAGAGAAAGGCCATAGAGAGAGACCAGAGAGAGACCAGAGAGACCAGAGAAAGACCAGAGAGAGACCAGAGAGAGACCAGAGAGAGACCTGAGGGAGACCAGAGAGAGACCACAGAGAGACCAGAGAGAGAGACCAGAGAGAGACCAGAGAGAGACCAGAGAGAGACCAGAGAGAGAGAGAGACCAGAGAGAGACCAGAGAGAGACCAGAGAGAGAGGGACCAAAGAGAGACCAGAGAGAGACCAGAGAGAGACCAGAGGGAGACCAGAGAGAGACCAGAGAGAGACCAGAGAGAGACCAGAGAGACACCAGAGGGAGACCAGAGAGAGACCAGAGAGAGACCAGAGAGAGACCAGAGAGAAAGACCAGTGAGAGACCAGAGAGAGACCAGCGAGAGAGACCAGAGAGAGACCAGCAAGAGACCAGAGAGAAATACAAGAGAGAGATCAGAGAGAGACCTGAGCGAGAGACTAGAAAGAGACCAGATTTAGAAACCAGAGAGAGACTATAGAGAAATCTGCCAAACCAGTTGAGTCGGTTGTGACGACTTCCTCCTTGGTCTTGTGTGTTTCAGAGCAACACGACAGAGACTTCTTCAGGAACAATAAGGATCAGTCTGTCTGTGTTAGTGACCAGAAAGTAAGTACCATGTGTCTGTGTTAGTGACCAGAAAGTAAGTACCATGTGTCTGTGTTAGTGACCAGAAAGAAAGTACCATGTGTCTGTGTTAGTGACCAGAAAGTAAGTACCATGTGTCTGTGTTAGTGACCAGAAAGTAAGTACCATGTGTCTGTGTTAGTGACCAGAAAGTAAGTACCATGTGTCTGTGTTAGTGACCAGAAAGTAAGTACCATGTGTCTGTGTTAGTGACCAGAAAGTAAGTACCATGTGTCTGTGTTAGTGACCAGAAAGTAAGTACCATGTGTCTGTGTTAGTGACCAGAAAGTAAGTACCATGTGTCTGTGTTAGTGACCAGAAAGTAAGTACCATGTGTCTGTGTTAGTGACCAGAAAGTAAGTACCATGTGTCTGTGTTAGTGACCAGAAAGTAAGTACCATATGTCTGTGTTAGTGACCAGAAAGTAAGTACCATGTGTCTGTGTTAGTGACCAGACAGTAAGTACCATGTGTCTGTGTTAGTGACCAGAAAGTAAGTACCATGTGTCTGTGTTAGTGACCAGAAAGTAAGTACCATGTGTCTGTGTTAGGGACCAGAAAGTAAGTACCATGTGTCTGTGTTAGTGACCAGAAAGTAAGTACCATGTGTCTGTGTTAGTGACCAGAAAGTAAGTACCATGTGTCTGTGTTAGTGACCAGAAAGTAAGTACCATGTGTCTGAGTTAGTGACCAGAAAGTAAGTACAATGTGTCTGTGTTAGTGACCAGAAAGTAAGTACCATGTGTCTGTGTTAGTCACCAAAAAGTAATTACCATGTGTCTTTGTTAGTGACCAGAAAGTAAGTACCATGTGTCTGTGTTAGGGACCAGAAAGTAAGTACCATGTGTGACGTGTTGATGTGTTAGTGTTAGTACCAGAAAGTAAGTACCATGTGGGAGCGGCGCTCATTGGTGCGTCACAGACAGAGCTGCACCTTTAAAGCTCGTGCACATGCCAGACATTCTTGTTGCTCATCCTGCTCCCATCCTGCCACCTGCCCCGCCTCCTTAGGTTTGGTTTGCTCTGGTTTGGTTTGGTTAGCTTTGGTTTGGTTTAGTTTGTGGTATATTTTCTACACACCATTCACCACTGCAGACTCTCACAGCACATACACCGCACACACTCACTACACACTTCAAACCTCATTAAAACATTCACTTTGGTTATTCATAAATATTATTTCAATTGAAACTGTTGTTTAGAGAGTTTCTGTCATTTCTACGGAGCCGGGTTATGGCAGAATGGGGCTCGTCCGGGACACAGGGGACTTCATACTGAGCCGTGGCATGGGCGTGGCCGTGTTGTCCGTTCTGTTACACAGGATGAGTTTGGAGTGTGAGCTGGTGCGGGGAGAGGTCACTGTCGGTGTGCGACCAGCGCTGCCCATCGAGAGGATTCATTTCATTTTGGAGAATGGGTCGGCTGGTGGTGGTGTCTGGGCTGACACAGACTCTGGTGGTGTCTGGGCTGACACAGACTCTGGTGGTGGTGTCTGGGCTGACACAGACTCTGGTGGTGGTGTCTGTGTCTGTCTGGCTGACACAGACTCTGGTGGTGGTGTCTGGGCTGACACAGACTCTGGTGGTGGTGTCTGGGCTGACACAGACTCTGGTGGTGGTGTCTGGGCTGACACAGACTCTGGTGGTGGTGTCTGGGCTGACACAGACTCTGGTGGTGGTGTCTGGGCTGACACAGACTCTGGTGGTGGTGTCTGGGCTGACACAGACTCTGGTGGTGGTGTCTGGGCTGACACAGACTCTGGTGGTGGGGAGACTGTGGATCCTGAGGCTGTGGAGGTGCTGCACCTGTTGTTACTTTATGTCCCACTGTCCCTGAGAGCGTTACGTCATCGCAGCCAGACGTGTTCCCTGCGTGCGCGGTGACGCAGGCCATGCATGAAGCGGATTCTGCAGATGATGCAGAGTCAGTGATTTTGTGTTGTCCACGGCAGAATATCCATTAAATGTATCCCACGCTGAGTTGGTTCGGGCGCAGCAAGAAGATCTGATTTTGGAAAGTTCATTTGATTTGGCTGTCTCCGAGGCACAAAACTCTGCTCCCACTAATGTCTACTGTCGCTGTGTCCTTGGGCAAGACACTTAACCCCACATTGTCTGAAGCTCCCGCTGAAACACCGAGGCTGTGGCACTGATGTAGCAGCCATCTTCCTGTGGACCCACCCCCTGCAGAGGATCAGAGGGACTGGTGCTATGAGCATTGGGGGCAGCTCTCATTACCACCCCCCGACCCAGAGATGGACTAATAAAGGGGTAGAATATGAATGAATGAATGACGAGGCACAGATAGAGAGTTTGGCAAATGGATATTCTGTTCAGAAGGATGTGCTGTTCAGAAAGTACATGTTTGTGGGGACCGTGTGCACGATGCCATGTTCCAAGTTGTAGTTCCAGCAAAGTTTCGTTCTTGAGGTGGTGCACAATAATTCTGGTCACTTTGGCGTTCGTAAAACATATCTGAGTCTTCTCAAGCATTTCTTTGGCCGCGGGTGAATAGAGATGTGTCGGCGTTTGTTAAGACTTGTCACACATGTTGACAGGAAAAAGGGCACTAGCCCCAGCACCACTGCAGCCTATTCCAGCTGTAAGTGAGCCATTTGAATATTTACGAACAGATTGTGTGGGTCCGTTGCCGTGTGCTAGATCTGGGTGTAAATATCTCCTCCGTAGAAATGACAGAAACTCTCTAAACAACAGTTTCAATTGAAATAATATTTATGAATAACCAAAGTGAATGTTTTAATGAGGTTTGAAGTGTGTAGTGAGTGTGTGCGGTGTATGTGCTGTGAGAGTCTGCAGTGGTGAATGGTGTGTAGAAAATATACCACAAACTAAACCAAACCAAAGCTAACCAAACCAAACCAGAGCAAACCAAACCTAAGGAGGCGGGGCAGGTGGCAGGATGGGAGCAGGATGAGCAACAAGAATGTCTGGCATGTGCACGAGCTTTAAAGGTGCAGCTCTGTCTGTGACGCACCAATGAGCGCCGCTCCCACCGGAGAGGAAGGCTCTACGGCCTGTTAGCGACCGTAAGACCAGTCTCTGACTCTGGTCCCAGTCTCTGACTCTGGTCCCAGTCTCTGACTCTGGTCCCAGTCTCTGGCTCTGGTCCCAGTCTCTGACTCTGGTCCCAGTCTCTGACTCTGGTCCCACTCTCTGACTCTGGTCCCAGTCTCTGGCTCTGGTCCCAGTCTCTGACTCTAGTCCCAGTCTCTGACTCTGGTCCCAGTCTCTGACTCTGGTCCCAGTCTCTGACTCTGGTCCCAGTCTCTGGCTCTGGTCCCAGTCTCTGACTCTGGTCCCAGTCTCTGACTCTGGTCCCAGTCTCTGACTCTGGTCCCAGTCTCTGACTCTGGTCCCAGTCTCTGACTCTGGTCCCAGTCTCTGACTCTGGTCCCAGCCTCTGACTCTGGTCCCAGTCTCTGACTCTGGTCCCAGTCTCTGACTCTGGTCCCAGTCTCTGACTCTGGTCCCAGTCTCTGGTCCCAGAGAGAGACCAGAAAGACCGGAGAAAATGCGGCCGCATGATTACATGCAAGTACAGTTTGTGGCCTCACCTGTATGTGAAAGCCAGATCCCTCAGACCTCTGAAGCTAATCAAGAGAGGGTCTGGTTAGTCTGTGATGGGAGACCTCTGGGAACAGCAGGTGCCACAGTGGGGCGGCTGCGGCTGTAAAGTGCCAAACTGTGGTTGTGTCCTTAGGCAAGACACTTCCCCCACATTAGAATGAGTCTGGTGTGTGTGTGAATGGTTGGTGGTGGTGGGAGGGGCCGATGGCACAGACTGGTTGCCTCGCTTCTGTCAGTGTGCCCCAGGGCAGCTGTGGCTACAGTAGTTCATCACCACCGTGTTTGGAGAGAAAGAATTATGACATGTGTTCTGAAAAGTGCTGTATAAACCAATGCATTATTATTATTAAAATCCAGAGAGAGACCAGAGAGAGACCAGAGAGAGACCAGAGAGAGACCAGAGAGAGAGACCAGAGAGAGACCAGAGAGAGAGACCAGAGAGAGAGACCAGAGAGAGACCAGAGAGAGACCAGAGAGAGAGACCAGAGAGAGAGACCAGAGAGAGATCAGAGAGAGACCAGAGAGAGACCAGAGAGAGACCAGAGAGAGACCAGAGAGAGACCAGAGAGAGGGACCAGAGAGAGACCAGAGAGAGACCAGAGAGAGACCAGAGAGAGACCAGAGAGAGACCAGAGAGAGACCAGAGAGAGACCAGAGAGAGACCAGAGAGAGAGACCAGAGAGAGACCAGAGAGAGACCAGAGAGAGACCAGAGAGAGACAAGAGAGAGACCAGAGAGAGATCAGAGAGAGACCAGAGAGAGACCAGAGAGAGACCAGAGAGAGAGACCAGAGAGAGAGACCAGAGAGAGACCAGAGAGAGAGACCAGAGAGAGACCAGAGAGAGACCAGAGAGAGACCAGAGAGAGACCAGAGAGAGACCAGAGAGAGACCGGAGAGAGACCAGAGAGAGAGACCAGAGAGAGACCAGAGAGAGACAAGAGATAGACCAGAGAGAGAGACCAGAGAGAGACCAGAGAGAGACCGGAGAGAGACCGGAGAGAGACCAGAGAGAGAGACCAGAGAGAGACCAGAGAGAGACCACAGTGAGACCAGAGAAAGACCAGAGAGAGACCAGAGAGAGAGACCAGAGAGAGACGAGAGAGAGACCAGAGAGAGAGACCAGAGAGAGACCAGAGAGAGACCAGAGAGACACCAGAGAGAGAGACCAGAGAGAGACCATAGTGAGACCAGAGAGAGACCAGAGAGAGACCAGAGAGAGAGACCAGAGAGAGAGACCAGAGAGAGACCAGAGAGAGACACCAGAGAGAGACCAGAAAGAGACCACAGTGAGACCAGACAGAGACCAGAGACAGAGACCAATGAATGACCAGAGAGAGAAGAGAAAGAGAGAGACCAGAAAGAGATCAGAGGGAGAGACCAGGAAGACTCCAGATTTAGAAACCAGAGAGAGACTATAGAGAAATCTGCCAAACCAGTTGAGTCGGTTGTGACGACTTCCTCCTTGGTCTTGTGTGTTTCAGAGCAACACGACAGAGACTTCTTCAGGAACAATAAGGATCAGTCTGTCTGTGTTAGTGACCAGAAAGTAAGTACCATGTGTCTGTGTTAGTGACCAGAAAGTAAGTACCATGTGTCTGTGTTAGTGACCAGAAAGTAAGTACCATGTGTCTGTGTTAGTGACCAGAAAGTAAGTACCATGTGTCTGTGTTAGTGACCAGAAAGTAAGTACCATGTGTCTGTGTAAGTGACCAGAAAGTAAGTACCATGTGTCTGTGTTAGTGACCAGAAAGTAAGTACCATGTGTCTGTGTTAGTGACCAGAAAGTAAGTACCATGTGTCTGTGTTAGTGACCAGAAAGTAAGTACCATGTGTCTGTGTTAGTGACCAGAAAGTAAGTACCATGTGTCTGTGTTAGTGACCAGAAAGTAAGTACCATGTGTCTGTGTTAGTGACCAGAAAGTAAGTACCATGTGTCTGTGTTTGTGACCAGAAAGTAAGTACCATGTGTATGTGTTAGTGACCAGAAAGTAAGTACCATGTGTCTGTGTTAGTGACCAGAAAGTAAGTACCATGTGTCTGTGTTAGTGACCAGAAAGTAAGTACCATGTGTTTGTGTTAGTGACCAGAAAGTAAGTACCATGTGTCTGTGTTAGTGACCAGAAAGTAAGTACCATGTGTCTGTGTAAGTGACCAGAAAGTAAGTACCATGTGTCTTTGTTTGTGACCAGAAAGTAAGTACCATGTGTCTATGTTAGTGACCAGAAAGAAAGTACCATGTGTCTGTGTTAGTGACCAGAAAGTAAGTACCATGTGTCTTTGTTTTTGACCAGAAAGTAAGTACCATGTGTCTGTGTTAGTGACCAGAAAGTAAGTACCATGTGTCTGTGTTAGTGACCAGAAAGTAAGTACCATGTGCCTGTGTTAGTGACCAGAAAGTAAGTACCATGTGTCTGTGTTAGTGACCAGAAAGTAAGTACCATGTGTTTGTGTTAGTGACCAGAAAGTAAGTACCATCTGTCTGTGTTAGTGACCAGAAAGTAAGTACCATGTGTCTGTGTTAGTGACCAGAAAGTAAGTACCATGTGTCTGTGTTAGTGACCAGAAAGTAAGTACCATGTGTCTGTATTAGTGACTAGAAAGTAAGTACCATGTGTCTGTGTTAGTGACCAGAAAGTAAGTACCATGTGTCTGTGTTAGTGACCAGAAAGTAAGTACCATGTGTCTGTGTTAGTGACCAGAAAGTAAGTACCATGTGTCTGTGTTAGTGACCAGAAAGTAAGTACCATGTGTCTGTGTTAGTGACCAGAAAGTAAGTACCATGTGTTTGTGTTAGTGACCAGAAAGTAAGTACCATGTGTTTGTGTTAGTGATCAGAAAGTAAGTACCATGTGTCTGTGTTAGTGACCAGAAAGTAAGTACCTTGTGTCTGTGTTAGTGACCAGAAAGTAAGTACCATGTGTCTTTGTTAGTGACCAGAAAGTGAGTACCATGTGTCTGTGTTAGTGACCAGAAAGTAAGTACCATGTGTGACGTGTTAGTAACCAGAAAGTAAGTACCATGTGTGACGTGTTAATGTGTGACGTATGTATACAACAGTTACTATAGGAACAGTGGGCGGAGTCAAACACTGTTTTATTGTGTAGGAGTCTGGACTGACCACCAGCAGGGCGGCGACAGAGAGACTGAGCATGGACCAGAGAGAGCACTGTCCTCCCACCATCAGAAGGGCGGCGTCACTGAGCTCCTTTGATCGATATGTTGACTTTAAAAAGGAGGAGGATCATGGGTAAGTCTGACTGTGATTCATGTGTGTCTGAGGCTAAGCAGGTTAGGGCCTGGGCGGTCATCTCCTGTTGTTCCTCTGTATCGTTGAACTGATTTTTTAGTTTTACAATACAATACACACAATACAATACAATATAATACAATTACAATACAATACAATACAATTTATTCTTGTATAGCCCTAGGTCACAACAGAAGTCATCTCAGAGGACTTAACAAAACCATTGAAATCACCAACACAGGTCAGAGAATCAACAGTTAAAACACATGAAGAATATAAAGCACACACAGAAGAAAATGTCCATACATGTTGTAGAATGCTAAAGTGTCCTGATCATCACCAATCCTTTCTGTTGGACACTAACTGTCCAACAAGACCCTCCTGCATCGACAAGGAAAAACTCTTAAAAAACCCAGTGGGAAAAAGTGAGAAACCTTGGGGAGCACTAGGGAAACCCACAGGGAGGGAGACCCATATGAGAAAGGGATCCGCTCCTCCGGACGGACAGGCTAATGATCTAGGACCTAAGCTAGCTACAGAACGTGGACCAGTGGCCGCTGAACGTGGACAGGTCCGGTGCAGGACTGAAGCACTCCCAGGCGGGTCGGGAGGGGCAGTCCGCAGGTGTAGATGGAGCAGGCCAGGCTCAGAGATCCCGTCATCGTACCATGAAACAGACAATGGGACAACGGGTAAATAGCAATGAACAAACTACAGTCAGAATCCTAAAAGTGCTAAACAGATAAAGTAGATAAAGTAGATAAAGTAGGAAGGAGGAGAGGATAGTGCTCAAGTTACCATACTTCTCCCAGCAAACTGACTCCCTATGCAGCTTGACTAACACTCTGAGGAGTTTAACCTTCCCAGAGTCTTACCTAACCATATGCTAAACTAAAGAGGACTGTTTTAAACCTAGCTTTGAATAAAGAGATTCATGGATTGCACACCAGGTGTGCAAACCGATCCAAGCAAACCTAATTATATATTATATATCATATACATCACATATACCATACATACCATATATATCATATATAATACACAACATAACATACAGCATAATATATAACATAATATACAACATAACACAATACATTATTGAATAATATATAACATAATATATAACATAATACAGCATATATATATAATATATACACTACATATTATATATTACCTAATTATATGCTAAATTAAAGTAAAGTGCTTTAAGCCTGGCCTTGAATGTGGAGACCGTATCTGCTTCCTTAACATAAATGGGAAGCTGATTCCACAGTAAAGGAGCTTGGTAGCTAAATGCTCTGCCACCAACAGTGACCTTTGAGACCTTAGGAACCACCAGACGTCTGGCGTTTTGTGAGCACAACGCTCGACTTGGTTGATACGACACTAACGTGTCTTGGAGATAAGAGGGAGCCAAGCCATTTATGGCTTTATATGTTAAGAGTAGGATTTTAAACTTTATTCTGTACTCCACAGGGAGCCAGTGGAGTGATTTTAACACCGGAGTTATGTGCTCCCTCCTTTTGGTACCTGTTAAGATCCTAGCTGCTGTATTCTGAACGAGCTGGAAGCTCTTCAAAGAGGCTTTAGGGCACGCTGCCAATAAAGCGTTACAGTAGTCGAGCCTTGAGGTGACAAACGCGTGAATAAGTTTTTCCGTGTCACTTTTAGGAAGGAAATTCCTAATTTTAGCGATGTTCCGTAAGTGGAAGTACGCCGTTTTAGTTGCTTGGCTTATATAAGCCTTGAAGGAGAGTTCTTGGTCAAAAATGACTCCAAGATTCCTCACAGTGTTACTGGGTATTATACTGACATTATCGAGAGTAACCATCTGGTTAGTGAGGGAGTCACGCAGGCGCTTCGGACCGAGTAGGATCACTTCTGTCTTCTCCGGGTTGAGAAGTAGGAAGTTAAGAGTCATCCACATTTTAAGGTCCTTTATGCAGCACTGAGCTTTTTTTCAGATCCACAGCTCATTTTGATTTGAGGAATATTTCTGCTGTTAATGCCATGTGTGACGTGTTGATGTGTCTGTGTTAGTGACCAGAAAGTAAGTACCATGTGTGACGTGTTGATGTGTCTGTGTTAGTGACCAGAAAGTAAGTACCATGTGTGACGTGTTAATGTGTCTGTGTTAGTGACCAGAAAGTAAGTACCATGTGTGACGTGTTGATGTGTCTGTGTTAGTGACCAGAAAGGAAGTACCATGTGTGACGTGTTGATGTGTCTGTGTTAGTGACCAGAAAGTAAGTACCATGTGTGACGTGTTGATGTGTCTGTGTTAGTGACCAGAAAGTAAGTACCATGTGTGACGTGTTGATGTGTCTGTGTTAGTGACCAGAAAGTAAGTACCATGTGTCTGTGTTAGTGATTGTTTATGAACAACTATAAACAACGACGTCACTCAAAGATCCTCCTGTAGATGGAACTGCAGAAGTTAAATGTCTGGGCTCAACCAGGACTAAACCAGGACTAAACCAGGACTAAACCAAGACTAAACCAAGACTAAACCAGGACTAAACCAGGACTAAACCAGGACTAAACCAAGACTAAACCAAGACTAAACCAGGACTAAACCAGGACTAAACCAGGGACTAAACCAGGACTAAACCAGGACTAAACCATGATAAAGAGGATTTGGTCCTTGGTAAGTCCCACTCCTTGTATCAGCAGCTCACAGACACAGTGTCCTGAAGACATGGACAGAGCTCATACCAGGTGTAGATACCAGGTGTAGATACCAGGTGTAGATGATATCTGTGTGTTTGTGGAGGTGACGCAGCCTTTGGTGAAGGCCTCTCCAACACTGAAGCTCTCTTCTGTGTCTCAGGATCCTCCACAAACTTCAGTCTGGACCTGGTCCTAGATGTGAGTCCCTCAAGAGTGACCGGTCTAAGGAGTTACCATGGAACTTCAGGAGTGACTGGTCTATGGATAAACGATGGAACTTCAGGACAGTGTGAGTTTCATGGACATAAGTGTCTCAGGCTCATGGACATAAGTGTCTCAGTCTCATGGACATAAGTGTCTCCGTCTCAGTCTCATGGACATAAGTGTCTCAGTCTCATGGACATAAGTGTCTCTGTCTCTCCACAGAGCGGCTGCAGATGTCTCCACTGGTCCGCACCATGGCTCTCACCTGGTCTCCATATTTAAGGTCTGTCATTCAGTCGTTTGTAGATGTTGAGCTGAAGGACTAGTTTCACACAGACACTACAGGCAGATCCTCTGTACCTGTGTGCTGCAGCACAGGGACACTAAAGGCAGTGATCCTCTGTACCTGTGTGGAGTAGCACAGGGACACTACAGGCAGTGATCCTCTGTACCTGTGTGCTGTAGCACGGGGACACTACAGGCAGATCCTCTGTACCTGTGTGCTGTAGCACAGGGACACTACAGGCAGATCCTCTGTACCTGTGTGCTGTAGCACAGGGACACTACAGGCAGTGATCCTCTGTACCCAGGCCCGTCGCAAGGGGGGTGCGAGGCCCTGTGTGAACTTGAAACGCGAGGCCCTGCCCTGACACCTTTTTCCCAGATCTCAGGTCAGTTTTCCCGGTTATAATCTTTGATTTTAGCACAGAGATCAGCACGCCGCAGCCGAGTGTCCTCGCTCCAATGCAGCGTCGGGCGCACACACACTCTGTTACGGAGCTTGGCATTACGATATTGGTCGCGGTCTTTTTAGCTGACATGGCTCTTTCGTCCTGTGGCAAAATGGCATCAACCCAAAAGATTGAGCCAAAAGGAGTCTTCTTCTTCTAATAGTTAGATTACGGAAAAATGCGCCAAAATGACTTTGAGGCGGAGTCAATTTTGTTGTATTTTTTTTCTCATAAAATAACGTCTTTACCATGTTTCCACACACTGACAACACACACTCCTTCTTCTCCACACACTGACAACACACACTCCTTCTCCTCAACACACTGACAACACACACTCCTTCTCCTCCACAATCTGACAACACACACTCCTTCTCCTCCACACACTGACAACACACACTCCTTCTCCGCCACACACTGACAACACACGCTCCTTCTCCTCCACACACTGACAACACACACTCCTTCTCCTCCACACACTGACAACACACACTCCTTCTCCTCCACACACTGACAACACACACTCCTTCTCCTCCACACACTGACAACACACACTCCTTCTCCTCCACAATGACAACACACGCTCCTCCTCCACACACTGACAACACACACTCCTCCTCCACACACTGACAACACACGCTCCTTCTCCTCCACACACTGACAACACACACTCCTCCTCCACACACTGACAACACACGCTCCTTCTCCTCCACACACTGACAACACACACTCCTCCTCCACACACTGACAACACACACTCCTTCTCCTCCACACACTGACAACACACACTCCTTCTCCTCCACACACTGATAACACACACTCCTTCTCCTCCACACACTGATAACACACACTCCTTCTCCTCCACACACTGACAACACACACTCCTTCTCCTCCATACACCGACAACACACACTCCTTCTCCTCCACACACTGATAACACACACTCCTTCTCCTCCGAACACTGACAACACACACTCCTTCTCCTCCACACACTGACAACACACACTCCTTCTCCTCCATACACCGACAACACACACTCCTTCTCCTCCACACACTGATAACACACACTCTTCTCCTCCACACACTGATAACACACACTCCTTCTCCTCCACAATGACAACACACACTCCTTCTCCTCCACACACTGACAACACACACTCCTTCTCCTCCACACACTGACAACACACACTCCTTCTCCTCCACACAATGACAACACACACTCCTTCTCCTCCACACACTGATAACACACACTCCTTTTCCTCCACACACTGACAACACACACTCCTTCTCCTCCACAATGACAACACACGTTCCTTCTCCTCCACACACTGACAACACACACTCCTTCTCCTCCACACACTGACAACACACACTCCTTCTCCTCCACACACTGACAACACACACTCCTCCTCCACACACTCTGACCACAACAAGGCGTTACCCAAAATGCACTGCACTCACAGTGGCCCTCATGTATGAAGCTTGCGTACGGCCAAATCAGGGTGTAACTGAGGCGTACACAAAATATTTACACTTTTCCGCATTTATCAATCTGGACATTTATTCTGGATCAGAATCAGTTTATTTGCCATTTGCAGAAAAAAACCACATTGGAACACAGGAGACACCGGGGGCACCAACACAACAAAGCACACACACAGAATAAAAATAGCGAGACACAGTGAGGCAAATATAAAACTCTTAAAAGCATTATTAAGAGGCTACGAAGGAGGAGCTCCAAGAGAAGCAGATCTCAGGACGCTCTGTTCAGTCTTATAACCGCCTGAGGGAAGAAGCTATTGGCATGGCGGGTGGTCCTGCACCGCACGGACCGGAATCTTTTCCCCGAGGGAAGAGGCTGGAACAAGGCCGCTCCAGGATGACCAGAGGAGTCCTTTACAATCCTCAGGGCTCGGTTCAAGAGTCTGCTCTCATAACGAGCCTCCAGAACGGGCTTCTCACGGTTCACAGTCCTCTGAGCAGAACCACTTTGTTCAGGGCTCTCTTTTCTTTGGCTGTGATGAACCACAGTGATCGCACCAGCATCAGGCTTTCTATGGTGCAGCGGTAGAAGTTCAGAAAAATCTTAGAGTTGTTTGTAAATTCTCTAAGTTTTCACAGGAAGTATAGACGTTGGCGAGCTTTCTTAACAATAAGGTTAGACCAAGAAACTTACTCTCCTCAACAACCTCCACCTGAGAGTTTTCAATGACCACAGGAGAGAGAGAGAGACCACGACTGCACAGGTGAGTGAGAGAGACCACGACTGCACAGGTGAGTGAGAGAGACCACGACTGCACAGGTGAGTGAGAGAGACCACGACTGCACAGGTGAGTGAGAGAGACCACGACTGCACAGGTGAGTGAGAGAGACCACGACTGCACAGGTGAGTGGGAGAGACCACGACTGCACAGGTGAGTGGGAGAGACCACGACTGCACAGGTGAGTGGGAGAGACCACGACTGCACAGGTGAGTGGGAGAGACCACGACTGCACAGGTGAGTGGGAGAGACCACGACTGCACAGGTGAGTGAGAGAGACCACGACTGAACAGGTGAGTGGGAGAGAGACCACGACTGCACAGGTGAGTGAGAGAGACCACGACTGAACAGGTGAGTGAGAGAGACCACGACTGCACAGGTGAGTGAGAGAGAGACCACGACTGCACAGGTGAGTGAGAGAGAGACCACGACTGCACAGGTGAGAGAGAGAGACCACGACTGCACAGGTGAGTGAGAGAGAGACCACGATTGCACAGGTGAGAGAGAGAGACCACGACTGCACAGGTGAGTGAGAGAGACGACGACTGCACAGGTGAGTGAGAGAGATCACGACTGCACAGGTGAGTGAGAGAGACCACGACTGCACAAGTGAGTGAGAGAGAGACCACGACTGCACAGGTGAGTGAGAGAGACCACGACTGCACAGGTGAGTGAGAGAGACCACGACTGCACAGGTGAGTGAGAGAGACCACGACTGAACAGGTGAGTGAGAGAGACCACGACTGCACAGGTGAGTGAGAGAGACCACGACTGCACAAGTGAGTGAGAGAGAGACCACGACTGCACAGGTGAGTGAGAGAGACCACGACTGCACAGGTGAGTGAGAGAGACCACGACTGCACAGGTGAGTGGGAGAGACCACGACTGCACAGGTGAGAGAGAGAGACCACGACTGCACAGGTGAGTGAGAGAGACCACGACTGCACAGGAGAGAGAGAGAGACCACGACTGCACAGGTGAGTGAGAGAGAGAAGGACCACGACTGCACAGGTGAGTGAGAGAGACCACGACTGCACAGGTGAGTGAGAGAGAGAGGGACCACGACTGCACAGGTGAGTGGGAGAGACCACGACTGCACAGGTGAGTGAGAGAGACCACGACTGCACAGGTGAGTGAGAGAGAGACCACGACTGCACAGGTGAGTGAGAGAGACCACGACTGCACAAGTGAGTGGGAGAGACCACGACTGCACAGGTGAGTGAGAGAGACCACGACTGCACAGGTGAGTGGAGAGACCACGATTGCACAGGTGAGTGGGAGAGAGAGGGACCACGACTGCACAGGTGAGAGAGAGAGACCACGACTGCACAGGTGAGTGAGAGAGAGAGGGACCACGACTGCACAGGTGAGTGGGAGAGACCACGACTGCACAGGTGAGTGAGAGAGACCACGACTGCACAGGTGAGTGAGATAGAGACCACGACTGCACAGGTGAGTGAGAGAGACCACGACTGCACAGGTGAGTGAGAGAGAGAAGGACCACGACTGCACAGGTGAGAGAGAGAGACCACGACTGCACAGGTGAGTGAGAGAGAGAGGGACCACGACTGCACAGGTGAGTGGGAGAGACCACGACTGCACAGGTGAGTGAGAGAGACCACGACTGCACAGGTGAGTGAGAGAGAGACCACGACTGCACAGGAGAGAGAGAGAGACCACGACTGCACAGGTGAGTGAGAGAGACCACGACTGCACAGGTGAGTGGGAGAGACCGCGACTGCACAGGTGAGTGGGAGAGACCACGACTGCACAGGTGAGTGGGAGAGACCACGACTGCACAGGAGAGAGAGAGAGACCACGACTGCACAGGTGAGTGAGAGAGACCACGACTGCACAGGTGAGTGAGAGGGACCACGACTGCACAGGTGAGTGAGAGAGAGAGGGACCACGACTGCACAGGTGAGAGAGAGAGACCACGACTGCACAGGTGAGTGGGAGAGACCACGACTGCACAGGTGAGTGAGAGAGACCACGACTGCACAGGTGAGTGGGAGACAGAGTGACCACGAATGCACAGGTGAGTGAGAGAGAGAGTGACCACGACTGCACAGGTGAGTGGGAGAGAGAGTGACCACGACGGCACAGGTGAGTGGGAGAGAGAGTGACCACGACTGCACAGGTGAGTGGGAGAGAGAGTGACCACGACTGCACAGGTGAGTGGGAGAGAGAGAGACTACGACTGCACAGGTGAGTGGGAGAGAGAGAGACCACGACGGCACAGGTGAGTGGGAGAGAGAGTGACCACGACTGCACAGGTGAGTGGGAGAGAGAGTGACCACGACTGCACAGGTGAGTGGGAGAGAGAGTGACCACGACTGCACAGGTGAGTGGGAGAGAGAGTGACCACGACTGCACAGGTGAGTGGGAGAGAGAGAGACCACGACGGCACAGGTGAGTGGTCATCTGGGAATCAATGGTGGTGTCGTCTGCATATTTAATGATCAAGTTTGAGTCAGAAGAAGCAACACAGTCATGGGTGTACAATGTGAAGAGCAGAGGACTCAGAATACACCCCTGAGGAGATCCAGTGCTCACAAACGCTTCATCTGAGAGACGGCCACCGATTCTAACTCTCTGAGATCTGCTGATGAGAGAGCTGTAAATCCATTTACACATGGCTTCGCTCAGGCCGAGGGATCTGAGCTTTTCAACCAGTTTACCTGGGACTAGACAGTTAAAAGCAGAGCTGTAATCAATGAACAGCATTCTGGCCAGAGATTTAGCATTGTCCAGATGACTGTACACAGAGTTCAGTGCAAGAGAAATCAGGTCTTCAACGCTCCTGTTTTCTTTGTACGCAAACTGGAGCGGGTCGGTACCGGAGGGGATCTGGCTCTAAACAAAGTCCAGTACAAAGTCCAGTATAAGCCGCTCAATGCCGTCTGGGCATGCGGCTTTTCGGGTCGGGGTTCTGGACAGGACCCGCTGCACTTCCTCCTGCGTCCCTGTAATGGCTGCTTGGTCTATACAGTCAAGGAAGACGACAGGTGAGGGATCAGCGGCTTCAAAGTGACAGTAAAAGTTCTTGAGCTCGTTGGGCAGAGCTTTGTCAGCGATGACAGTTCTTCCTGCACTCGGCTTCCAGGCTGTGATGGTCTGAATGCCCTTCCACTTTTGCCTGGAATCATTCTCTATGCAGTATCCTTCTTGTCGCTCTCCATAGGACCGCTTAGCGTGTTTAATAGAGCGTTCAAAAGCACATCTGGATAGTTTGTAAGCCAATGCATCGCCAGATTGAAAAGCTAACGCACACTCACGGATTCTACTTTTTACTTCCGAAGTCATCCATAGGTTTTGACCACAAGGCTCTTTTATTATTTTCCGTGGGACACAGCAATCAATACAAAAGTCAATATATCCCGTAACAGCATCACAGTATTCGTCCACATTTTCTGAGTGGAAAACAGACCAGTCCGTGGCGTCAAAACAGCCCTGCAGCTTTAAGTTTACGTCGTCTGACCAGCACTGAATAGAACGAAAGGATGGTTTCTGTAGCTGGCTCTTCTGCATATATGATGGCAAAAGCAGCACTGAAGAGTGGTCAGACCTCCCGAGCACTGGTCTGAGGTAAGACCTAAAGGCCCCTTTAATATTACTATAGCAGTGATCCAGAATGCGAGAGCACCTTGTAGGCATAGACACATGCTGGTGAAAGTTATGGAGCACTGACTTTAAGTTACATTTGTTGAAGTCACCCGCTGCAATTATGGCTGCTTTGGGATAAGCACCTTCGCATTTCTGCAAAATGTCACTCAAGTCATTTAGCGCGTCAGCGGAGTCCGCTCGGGGGTGAATGTAAACAGCACAGAAACACAGCAGTCAGTTCCCGGGGCAGAAAGAAAGGGCTGCATTTTAGCACAATATATTCTAGGTTAGCTGAACAAAAAATGTTAACCACAACATTGTCTGTGCTCCAGCACTGGTTGAGCAGGATACATTCCCCACCTTCTCTGTTTTTTCCCGTGGAGTGTGTGTTGTCCCGCGCTTCCTCCTTCGGCCCCAGGCTGCCTGGACTCCGCGGTGCGAGTGGTGGAGATGCCCACCCCACTCGCTCTGATCCCGGCTAGAGCCGTAGCGCTGCCCGCCGGTCCGGGTAGGACACCCACCGAAGTCCTTGCATCGGAGTTCGGGCAGAACTTTGCCACAAACTCTGTCTCCAATACTCAAAAGATTCTCACGGTCGTACGCCACTGTATCCATCCCCATGCACACAAGACAGACAGCAAAAGACAGGGTGCAACCCAGAGCTCGAGCTACTCAGCCATACACCAACGCCATCTTGGAGATTTATGGAAAATAAAATGTAAAATAGGACTTACTTCATGCACAGAGGATTTGAGTAAGCGACCACATATCTTGTCAAGACCGAGGTTTTTGTTTGGCTTAATTATAGAGAGGGCTTTTATGACATCCTCAGTAAAGGTAAAGGTGCACTTTTATTAATCCCCGTAGGGCAATTCAATCCTCTGCATTCTCTGACCCATCCTGATGCCACTAAGGCGTACGTCAGGAGCAGTGGTTGCTGTAGAACAGCGTCTGGGAATCCATCTCCAGATGTTGATGCTCTGGGTCAGGACCGGAGCTGGAGGATTTTAACCTAGTGAGCATGTTTTTAGTGGTAAGGGAAACTGGAGTACCCGGAGGAAACCTACTCAGGCACGGGGAGAACATGCAAACTCCACTCAGAAAGACCCTGTTCCGACCGGGATTCGAACCCAGGACCTTCTTGCTGAGAGGCGAGAGTGCTAACCACTCAGCCACCGTGTCAACAAGATCATGTTTCAAATCAAGATTTTCCCAACTAAAGTCAAAAGAGTCAAAACGGCAGCAAAACTCATGAAAGTAATTGGCCAGTTCACTGTCAGATACAAAGCCCTCTAAAACTTTTTTTTTTTTTTGCTTGGCCATTTTGGAGCCAACATTGATGTTCATGCTTGTCCAGGCTGAACCATGTTGTTGTTGCTGCCGTCCTATTTTCCAGTTTTGATTTGTAAGCACATTTAATTTAAGCATTTCAGTTTTAAGTTTCTTCTTGGCTTCTTGAATACCAGGTTGTGATCCTTGCTGAAAAGCTAAAGCCCTTTTCTGTAAGCAGGACTTTACAGTTCTTGTAACCCAAGGCCTATTATTGGGGTATATTTTGACCCTTTTGGATGGTATTATCATGTCCCTTCAAAAAGCCTCATAAGAGCAGGTCATATCAGCCAAGGTGTCCAGGTCATCGTCACATGACTGAGTAAAGACATCCCAGTCCGTACAAGCATTCCTGTAGTGAAAGTACAGCATCCTGAGTCCAGACTTCTACATCCCTGGTCTCAGTTTTTACTCTCTTCAGAACGGTCTCATAAGCAGGCACTAACTGCACAAATCTACGATCTGAGGAGCTCAATGGAGGGATTGGAAAAGCTTTGTAGGCCCCTCAATAGATCCATAGCACAAGTCCAGTGTTTTCTTCTGCCTGGTTGGGCAGGAGACATTCTGACAGAAGTTCTTAAGTTCTTTTTCAAGGCCACGTGATTAAAATCCCTGCGGATTGCCAGACGAAGCCTGGGACAGATGACATGGAACTCAGTTTCAGTTCAAGGAGCATATCTCTTGTGTATTGAAGTCTTGCAAAAGAAGATACTGCAGCTCCATTGATTTTGTTTGCCAGAAGACGAAGGAGAAGGTTTGCCAGCACAATAAAGCTGGTCACTTTCCTCTGGTCGCGTTGATAAAAGCACCAGTCCGTCACATGCACCAGTCGACCACAATAACTAAAACTAAAGTTCATAAAGTTCTTAAAACACACTCAACCAAGACACCAAGCTCTCATCCACCGCCAGTTGCAGAGTGCGCATGTCTTGGACATACAAGAAAAGAGACTCTTTGTGCTAGTTTCCACGAGATGAATCACATGTGACTTGGGTGGCATCTCTGACTGCCACCCGTCTTGACCCGTCCTTGTAGCAGCCGCTAACCCATCTCCATTTGTGTTGTTTCTTATGTGTGTGTGCAGCACCTGGAGAAGAACCTCTCCACTTTTTTCCAGGAGGAGCTGAAGAAGTTCCTCAGGCTTCTGAGCACAGATTACCCAGAATGCTTAGAGCCTGTGGAGGATGAGGAGCAGAGGAGCAGCAGTGAGGCGCTCCTGAAGATCACACTGAACTTCCTGAGGAGGATGGATCAGAAGGAGCTGGCTGAGCGTCTGTGGAGCAGTAAGAACACGTTCATGATGGTCATGTGATCTTCTCTGACTCCTGTCTCTGTTATCTTCATTCAGGGACTTATTCTGGACGTTCTCAGCGTAAACTGAAGGTGGATCTGCAGCAGAGGTTTGAGTGTGTGTTTGAGGGCATTGCTAAAGCAGGAGCCCCCACCCTCCTGAAGCAGATCTACACCGAGCTCTACATCACAGAGGGAGGCTCTTCAGAGGTCAACCAGGAACATGAGGTCCGACACATGGAAGCAGCCTCCAGGAGACCCGCAGAGAGAACCATCACATGTGAAGACATCTTTAAAGACCCGGCCCACTCAGACAAACCAATCAGAACGGTGCTGACAAAGGGAGTGGCTGGTATCGGGAAAACAGTGCTCACTCAGAAGTTCAGTCTGGACTGGGCTGAAGGCAAAGCCCACCAGGACCTCCAGCTGCTGTTCCCCTTCACTTTCAGAACTCTCAATGTTCTGAAGGACAGAAGCTTCAGCCTGGTGTCACTTGTTCATCACTTCTTTAGTCAAACACAAGCAGATCTCTGCAGCTTTGAAGACCTCCAGGTGCTCTTCATCTTTGACGGTCTGGACGAGTGCAGACTTCCTCTGGACTTCAAGAGCTCTCGTGTCCTCTCAGACCCCACAGAGTCCGTCTCTCTGGACCTGCTGCTGGTGAACCTCATCAGGGGGAGCCTGCTTCCCTCCGCTCGCCTCTGGATCACCACACGCCCCGCGGCGGCCAATCAAATCCCTGCAGAGTACGTCTCCATGGTGACAGAGGTCCGAGGGTTCAGCGACTCTCAGAAGGAGCAGTACTTCAGGAGGAGGTTCGGAGAACAGGCCGACACAGTCCTCTCCCACATCAAGACGTCCAGAAGCCTCCACATCATGTGCCACATGCCAGTCTTCTGCTGGATCACTGCCACAGTCCTGGAGCATGTGTTGAAGAGCAGAGAGACAGGAGAGCTGCCCAAGAGCCTGACGCAGATGTACAGCCACTTCCTGGTGGTTCAGGCCAAATTCAAGAACATCAAGTATAAAGAAGGATCAGAGACAGACCCACACTGGAGTCCAGACACCAGGAAGATGGTGGAGTCTCTGGGAAAACTGGCCTTTGAGCAGCTGCAGAGAGGAAACCTGATCTTCTACGACTGTGACCTGAGCGAGTGTGGGCTGGACGTTGCAGCCGCCTCAGTGTACTCCGGAGTCTTCACACAGGTCTTTAGAGAGGAGCCAGGCCTGTACCAGGACACGGTCTACTGCTTCATCCATCTGAGTGTGCAGGAGTTTCTGGCTGCTCTTCACGTCCATCTGACCTTCATCAACACTGGAACCAACCTGCTCTCACAGAAAACACATAAGTCCACAATATTTAGTTTGAAAAGAAAACTGGATCATTTTCATCAGACAGCTGTGGACCAGGCCTTACTGAGTCCAAACGGACACCTGGACCTGCTCCTCCGCTTCCTCCTGGGCCTGTCAGTGTCGACCAATCAGAGCCTTCTAAACGGTCTGCTGACACAGACAGGAAGTAGCTCCAAGACCAATCAGAAGACAGCAGAGTACATTAAGAAGAAGCTGAGTGAGGATGTGTCTGCAGAGAGGAGCATCACTCTGCTCCACTGTCTGAATGAACTGAATGATTCTTCTCTGGTGGAGCAGATCCAACAGACCCTGAGGTCAGGACGTCTGTCTGAAGGACTGTCTCCTGCTCAGTGGTCAGCACTGGCCTTCATCTTACTGTCATCAGAAGAAGATCTGGACCAGTTTGAGCTGAGCAGATACTGTGCTTCAGAGGAGGCTCTCCTGAGGCTGCTGCCAGTGGTCAAGGCCTCCACCAAAGCTCTGTGAGTAACCTTTGTTTAACACAGGATTCATTCAACTTCTACATAACCATGTTTTCTGTCTCCAGACTGAGCCGCTGTGAGCTGTCAGACAGAAGCTGTGGAGCTCTGGCCTCAGTCCTCAGCTCCCAGTCCTCTAGTCTGAGAGTCCTGGATCTGAGTCACAACGACTTGAAGGACTCAGGGCTGAAGCTGTTGTCTGATGGACTGAAGAGTCCTCACTGTAAACTGGAGACGCTCAGGTCAGAGGGTTCATATGATTCACTGTTCTTACAGAACCTGCTGGTCATTGTTTTGGACAATACCAGTGGACAAAGACAGTTAAAGATAAAGGACTTGTTTTGTGTCTCATTTGGGTTGAATGTTAGTCATGAACTAAGTGATTACAATAATGTGTGTGTTCAGTCTGTCAGGTTGTTTGGTGTCAGAGGAAGGCTGTGCTTCTCTGGCCTCAGCTCCGAGGTCCAACCCCTCCCATCTGAGAGAACTGGACCTGAGCTACAACCATCCAGGAGACACAGGAGTAAAGCTGCTGTCTGCTCTGCTGGAGGACCCCCACTGCACCCTGCACACTCTCAGGTATGGTTCATGCACACACACACACTGAGCCAGTACACACACACACACACACACACACACACACACACACACCCGGTACATTTACACACACACACACACACACTCACACACAGACGGAGACGCTGCATCAGTAAGACGCTATAGTTGGAAGTCGGTTGCTGCCTCCCGTTCACATGAAGACTGTGTTCAAGGTGAAAACGTAAGTTATGAACCAGCCTCAGAGTGTAACAGATCAGATACACTGCTCAGTGGGGGGTCTTTCACTTCTGCATGAAGAAAAAGGTGTGAATTCTCTGCCTGCTCTGACCCCACCTCCCGCTGCTCCCCACAACAATGAGGAAGAGAAGTCGATATTCACCTGAAAAACAGAACTGTTAACCCCCCGAAAAAAATATCTTCTGAGCTAACACAAAGGAGCCAATGAGGCAACTTTCACAGTGTTCATCCAGCCAACTCCAGATCCATCACAAGGAATTTTGTGATCCTTGCTAAAAGTCAGCTTTGAAAATCCAGATGTGACTATTTTTTGATTAAACTTGTTTTTTAAAATACGATGTCAAAATTCCATATTCCAGCTACATCATTTGGTTGCTTATGTAGCTGTGGTGTGAATATTATGGACATGGTTTTGAATGTCGTCTATAAACCAATATTCTGATCTGTGGTCTGAAGCTAAGCAGAGCAGGGCATGTTAATGTGTGATGGAGACCTCTAAGACACAGGTTGCCACTTACTTCTTACAGGACATTACAGCGCAGATGCATGACATGTGAGCAAGGTCGGCAGTGGTTTGTTTGTCCTTGTCGTTGTACTGTCTGACCAGCTGCGGAAGGAAGAACTGCATAATCTCTCCTTCAAACAGTGAGGATGACTAGTATGTCACTGAAGCTGCTCTCAGATAGTAGACTAAGTGCCCTGCATGGATGTAGTTTGTCCAGGAGCCTGCTGTCCCCACCATCAGCACTGTGTGATGTGTAATGTGATGTGTATGTATACAGTCTTTAACAAATGCTGTCGTTAAACTTAAACGAAGGTTTGCAAAAATGTAATTTATCCTGAAGACATGACAATGCTCTTTGATGAATCCTCAGATGTTTTAGTGAATGACAGAGACCCAGTCAGTAAAATGTTTTTTGGTTATCAAGGTGGAGTGACCTACTGCACACTCTCCCTTTTCCCTGGAAATGGGATGAAGCGGATGCCAGTTTATAAGACAGTAATCACAAACCAATGTGCTAAGACAAAACCATGCCACTCACGGTCGGATCAGTATATCTTAAATAAGCCCCAGTTGTAAAATACATGTTCCTTTGTAGCTCATCTGTTTGGTGAAATACGTTGTCAAGACCCTTTTCTCACCATCCCACGTATGAATTTGCTGAGAGCGGATCTTGAGCTGGCTGTTTCCAAACAGAATGCGTGCGATCCACCACAGGTCACTGGGAGACGGGCTGGTATATATGATGCTGTAATCCAATATTATTATGCTCGGAGGATTTCTTCTGACCACGCTGTAATTCCTGCCTGCCAATCTAAGGAACTTCAGAGCGCCACTGTTCCGGGAAGAACATCACCTGCCTGGATTTATAGAGGGCTTGAGTGCCTCTCTTTCCTGGCAGCGAATCCCCATTTGGACCAGCGATTTATCTTGGAAGTTATAAACACATTCATTGAGAGACGGGACGTGGATTTGGGCACATCCTTGTCGATCGAAGCTGACAGAGCTGGGAAGCCGATGACGGGCCAGCGCTCCATGATAAAGTCGGGGTTCGTTCGCTTTTCTGTTTTTCGAGTTTTTGGGTTCCCCGCTCCAGAAGAACCTCGGCCAGGCCATCCTTGTCCAAGAATCCACACGGATCCGAAACTCTGGCTCGCCTTCCGCCCCTCGGGAAAAGACCTTCAGCCGTCAAGATTGGATTCACCGGCTCCTGTTTTCTTGATAGGACCCACTTAAGATTGGGTGGATCGTCATTTTATTTGCGCTTTGGAGTTTGTTAACCGTAGTTTGTGGGTTCCTACTGTGTTTTCATGATGAGAGATTCGTTGCATTGCGTCAGCCCTCTTAAAAGCTCTCATCCTCGTATGGGTTACTCTTATCCATTAGGACCACTGCCAGGACATGATCAGTTTTAGCTTGTAAAAATCAGTCCTCTCAGGACCCCCATTATGTCCAACTTTAAATCCGTGATTGCTTTTTAGAATTTGGTTGGGGAGTCCGCGTGTTGTCACTCTTGAAACACTCCTGGTCTCTTGATGACCGTGCGGCGCGTCGCTTCAATGGTTTGCCTCTATCCCTTTTTCCTCCCTTTGTGTGTTTATGAACGTATTGTTTCATGTTCCCACTAAAGTCGTGAGATATTGTCGTCTAGTTTTCCGATGTTTTCAGGCCTCGTGTATTTACGGGAGAGTATATCTTTACAGTTCACGTGGATGTGAGGGGGACAGGGGGGGCGTGGCCTGTCTGATTGATATTACAGGACAGATGGAGACTTATTCCTGACAGAGAGACCAGAGAGAGACCAGAGAGAGACCAGAGAGACAGAGACCAGAGAGAGACCAGAGAGAGACCAGAGAGAGACCAGAGAGAGACCAGAGAGAGACCAGAGAGAGACCAGAGAGAGACCAGAGAGAGACCAGAGAGAGACCAGAGAGAGACCAGAGAGAGACCAGAGAGAGACCAGAGAGAGACCAGAGAGAGACCAGAGAGAGACCAGAGAGAGACCAGAGAGAGACCAGAGAGAGACCAGAGAGAGACCAGAGAGAGACCAGAGAGAGACCAGAGAGAGACCAGAGAGAGACCAGAGAGAGACCAGAGAGAGACCAGAGAGAGACCAGAGAGAGACACCAGAGAGAGACCCAGAGAGAGACCAGAGAGAGACCAGAGAGAGACCAGTAGAGAGACCAGAGAGACCAGAGAGAGACCAGAGAGAGAGACCAGAGAGGAGGAGACCAGAGAGAGAGACAGAGAGAGACCAGAGAGACACCAGAGAGAGACCAGAGAGACCAGAGAGAGACCAGAGAGAGACCAGGGAGAGACCAGAGAGGGAGACCAGAGAGACCAGAGAGAGACAAGAGAGAGACCAGAGAGACACCAGAGAGAGACCAGAGAGACCAGAGAGAGACCAGAGAGAGACCAGAGAGGGAGACCAGAGAGACCAGAGAGAGACAAGAGAGAGACCAGAGAGACACCAGAGAGAGACCAGAGAGACCAGAGAGAGACCAGAGAGAGAGACCAGATAGAGAGACCAGAGAGAGACCAGAGAGAGACCAGAGAGAGACCAGAGGGAGACCAGAGGGAGACCAGAGAGAGACCAGAGAGAGACCAGAGAGAGACCAGAGAGAGACCAGAGGGAGACCATAGAGAGACCATAGGGAGACCAGAGGGAGACCAGAGGGAGACCAGAGAGAGAGACCAGAGAGAGACCAGAGAGAGACCAGAGAGAGACCAGAGGGAGACCATAGAGAGACCAGAGAGAGACCAGAGAGAGACCAGAGAGAGACCAGAGAGAGAGACCAGAGAGAAAGACCAGAGAGAGACCAGAGAGAGACCAGAGAGAGACCAGAGAGAGACCAGAGAGAGAGACCAGAGAGAGACCAGAAAGAACCAGAGAGAGACCAGAGAGAGACTAGAGAGAGACCAGAGAGAGAGACAAGAGAGAGACCAGAGAGAGACCAGAGAGAGACCAGAGAGAGACCAGAGAGACTAGGGAGAGAGCCAGAGAGAGACCACAGAGAGACCACAGAGAGACCAGTAAGAGAGAGAGACCAGAGAGAGACCAGAGAGAGAGACCAGAGAGAAAGACCAGAGAGAGACCAAAGAGAGACAAGAGAGAGACCAGAGAGAGAGAACAGAAAGAGACCAGAGAGAGACCAGAGAGAGACCAGAGAGAGAGACCAGAGAGAGACAGAGAGAGAGAGACCCGAGAGAGACCAGAGAGAGAGACCAGAAAGAGACCAGAGAGAGACCAGAGGGAGACCAGAGAGACTAGAGAGAGACAAGAGAGAGACCAGAGAGAGACCAGAGAGAGACTAGAGAGAGAGAGACCAGAGAGACCAGAGAGAGACCCGAGAGAGACCAGAGAGAGAGACCAGAAAGAGACCAGAGAGAGACCAGAGGGAGACCAGAGAGAGACTAGAGAGAGACAAGAGAGAGACCAGAGAGAGACCAGAGAGAGACCAGAGAGAGAGACCAGAGAGAGACCAGAAAGAAACCAGAGAGAGACCAGAGAGAGACTAGAGAGAGACCAGAGAGAGAGACAAGAGAGACACCAGAGAGACACCAGAGAGAGACCAGAGAGAGACCAGAGAGACTAGGGAGAGAGCAGAGAGAGACCACAGAGAGACCACAGAGAGACCAGTAAGAGAGAGAGACCAGAGAGAGACCAGAGAGAGAGACCAGAGAGAAAGACCAGAGAGAGATCAAAGAGAGACAAGAGAGAGACCAGAGAGAGAGAACAGAAAGAGACCACAGAGAGACCAGAGAGAGACCAGTAAGAGAGAGAGACCAGAGAGAGACCAGAGGGAGACCAGAGAGAGACCAGAGAGAGAGACGTGAGAGAGATAGACCAGAGAGAGACCAGAGAGAGACCAGAGAGAGAGACCAGAGAGAAAGACCAGAGAGAGATCAAAGAGAGACCAGAGAGAGACCAGAGAGAGAGACCAGAGAGAGACCAGAAAGAGACCAGAGAGAGACCAGAAAGAGACCAGAGAGAGACCAGAGAGAGACTAGAGAGAGACCAGAGAGAGAGACAAGAGAGACACCAGAGAGACACCAGAGAGAGACCAGAGAGACTAGAGAGAGAGCAGAGAGAGACCACAGAGAGACCAGAGAGAGACCAGTAAGAGAGAGAAAACCAGAGAGAGACCAGAGAGAGACCAGAGGGAGACCAGAGAGAGACCAGAGAGAGACCAGAGAGAGACCAGAGAGAGACCAGTAAGAGAGAGAGACCAGAGAGAGACCAGAGAGAGACCAGAGAGAGACCAGAGAGAGACTAGAGAGAGAGAGACCAGAGAGAGACCAGAGAGGGACCAGAGAGAGACCAGAGAGAGAGACCAGAGAGAGCGTGAGAGAGACCAGAGAGAGAGACCAGAGAGACACCAGAGAGAGAGACCAGAGAGAGACCAGAGAGAGACTAGAGAGAGAGACCAGAGAGAGAGAACAGAGAGAGACCAGAGAGAGACCAGAGAGAGACCAGAGAGAGACCAGAGAGAGAGACCAGAGAGAGAGACCAGAGAGACACCAGAGAGAGACCAGTAAGAGAGAGAGACCAGAGAGAGACCAGAGAGAGAGACCAGAGAGAAAGACCAGAGAGAGATCAAAGAGAGACAAGAGAGGGACCAGAGAGAACAGAGAGAGGCCTATTCTCTATACTTTACCTCTCTTCTATCACTGTTGCACTGAGCCAAAGCAATTTTCAAGTCTGTGACTTCCTGTTACTTACGAGGCAATAAAAATGATTCTGATTCTGATTCTGATTCTGAATGCTTTCAGGTCAGAGTACGTAACACAACAATATGTAACATATTGGGGCTCGTCTCTTGGGTGTAACATATTGGGGCTCGTCTCTTGGGTGTAACATATTGGGGCTCGTCTCTTGGGTGTTACATATTGGGGCTCGTCTCTTGGGTGTTACATATTGGGGCTTGTCTCTTGGTTGAACCTTGATAGTTTTTGTTCATCTCAGTGTGATACAGTTTTGTGTAAGGTTTAGTCTCTCCTTTTGTCGCTGAGTGTTTAGTGGGTCTAGGGATTATTCAATCTAAGCTTTTTGATTTTTAAGGGGATACTGGGTGGGCCGTTACCATAGTTACCGAGACAGGAGCGAGAGAGAAGAGAGAGACCAGAGAAAAATGACTGTACCGACTTCCGTAATGTTACTTCCTCCTTGGTCTTGTGTGTTTCAGAGCAACACGACAGAGACTTCTTCAGGAACAATAAGGATCAGTTTGTCTGTGTTAGTGACCAGAAAGTAAGTACCATGTGTCTGTGTTAGTGACCAGAAAGTAAGTACCATGTGTCTGTGTTAGTGACCAGAAAGTAAGTACCATGTGTCTGTGTTAGTGACCAGAAAGTAAGTACCATGTGTCTGTGTTAGTGACCAGAAAGTAAGTACCATGTGTCTGTGTTAGCGACCAGAAAGTAAGTACCATGTGTCTGTGTTAGTGACCAGAAAGTAAGTACCATGTGTCTGTGTTAGTGACCAGAAAGTAAGTACCATGTGTCTGTGTTAGTGACCAGAAAGTAAGTACCATGTGTCTGTGTTAGTGACCAGAAAGTAAGTACCATGTGTCTGTGTTAGTGACCAGAAAGTAAGTACCATGTGTCGGTGTTAGTGACCAGAAAGTAAGTACCATGTGTCTGTGTTAGTGACCAGAAAGTAAGTACCATATGTCTGTGTTAGTGACCAGAAAGTAAGTACCATGTGTCTGTGTTAGTGACCAGAAAGTAAGTACCATGTGTCTGTGTTAGTGACCAGAAAGTAAGTACCATGTGTCTGTGTTAGTGACCAGAAAGTAAGTACCATGTGTCTGTGTTAGTAACCAGAAAGTAAGTACCATGTATCTGTGTTAGTGACCAGAATGTAAGTACCATGTGTCTGTGTTAGTGACCAGAAAGTAAGTACCATGTGTCTGTGTTAGTGACCAGAAAGTAAGTACCATGTGTCTGTGTTAGTGACCAGAAATTAAGTACCATGTGTCTGTGTTAGTGACCAGAAAGTAAGTACCATGTGTGACGTGTTGATGTGTTAGTACCAGAAAGCAAGTACCATGTGTGACGTGTCTGTGTTAGTGACCAGAAAGTAATTACCATGTGTGACGTGTTGATGTGTCTGTGTGAGTGACCAGAAAGTAAGTACCATGTGTGACGTGTCTGTGTTAGTGACCAGAAAGTAAGTACCATGTGTGACGTGTTGATGTGTCAGTGTTAGTGACCAGAAAGTAAGTACCATGTGTGACGTGTTGATGTGTCTGTGTTAGGGACCAGAAAGTAAGTACCATGTGTGACGTGTTGATGTGTCTGTGTTAGTGACCAGAAAGTAAGTACCATGTGTGACGTGTTGATGTGTCAGTGTTAGTGACCAGAAAGTAAGTACCATGTGTGACGTGTTGATGTGTCAGTGTTAGTGACCAGAAAGTAAGTACCATGTGTGACGTGTTGATGTGTCTGTGTTAGGGACCAGAAAGTCCTGTGGGGTCCTCCACAGGTGTCAGTGTCTGTTCTTAAAGTAGTACTAGAATTTAATATGCTGCTATCCAGAATATTTAACTACAATATGTGTTTGTAATTAGATTTATTTACCACAATGTACTTTGTAATATTCATAAATGCTAACACCTATTTACGGTTTAATTAGCATTTTTATCAATGATTGCATCACATGTAGTCTATGTTTTCAACTTCTGCAGCTTTTTGTTCATAGAAGTAAAATATTTATTTAATTCAAGTAATTCTGATCATCATTTTTGAATATTACAATATACATTGTGGTAAATAATGATGTCGTTAGCATGTTTTATGATATCAAGTAGAGTTAGCTAACTTGCCCAACACTAATTAGCTTGAATCTCACAAATAAGGCTAAAAGGTTAAAAGAGTTGCACACTATTATGTACAAACGGATGAAAATATGTTTATACCTTGTTCAGATGACAGTGAAACCTCCTACAGATTCAGCCCAGACTGCTGCTGCTGTGAGAGGTCCTCCTTCTTCTACAATCTTCCTGAAGATGTGAGGCTAGCATCTACTCTGGCAATTTTTAAATCAGGGCTAAAAACTGTTCTTTTTAGCTGTGCATACGGCTGAAGGATTTTATTGATACATACTCTTTTTTTAATGCATTGTGGTTATTTATTATTTTAATCCCGTGTGTGCTTTTAATATTTAAAGTTTTTTTTTTTTTCATTACTTGTGATTTTATTCTGTTTTTAATGTATTTATTGATGTCTCTGATTTGTGTGATATTATGTGGGTTGTGAGGCGCTTTGAGTGGCCTTGTGTTGGAAAGGCGCCATACAAATAAAGTTGATTGATTGATTGATTCTCCTACGTCATCGCCGCCATTTTGGCGCCCCCTAGCGTTTCTATGCGGAAGTGAAAAAGTGCGACTTCAAAGGAGTTTTTTTTTACTTAATTAATCTGAACATGTCAAAATGAACACCAGAAATATATATTGTAGTTATATATTCTGGATAGCAGCATATTAAATTCTAGTACTACTTTAAGCTGTGTTCAGACCGGATCATGCTGTGGCGAGTTTCAAAGCAAAGTCAATAGAGACATAGGTACAGAGGAGGTGGGTACAGAGGAGGTGGGTACAGAGGAGGTGGGTACAGAGGAGGTGGGTACAGAGGAGGTGGGCACAGTGGAGGTGGGTACAGAGGAGGTGGGTACAGATGAGGTGGGCACAGTGGAGGTGGGTACAGAGGAGGTGGGTACAGAGGAGGTGGGTACAGATGAGGTGGGTACAGAGGAGGTGGGTGCAGAGGAGGTGGGTAAAAAGGAGGTGGGTACAGAGGAGGTGGGTGCAGAGGAGGTGGGTACAGAGGAGGTGGGTACAGAGGAGGTGGGTACAGAGGAGGTGGGTACAGAGGAGGTGGGTACAGAGGAGGTGGGTACAGAGGAGGTGGGTGCAGAGGAGGTGGGTACAGAGGAGGTGGGTATGAGGAGGTGGGTACAGAGGAGGTGGGTGCAGAGGTGGTGGGTGCAGAGGAGGTGGGCACAGAGGAGGTGGGTACAGAGGAGGTGGGTACAGAGGAGGTGGGTACAGAGGAGGTGGGTACAGAGGAGGTGGGTACAGAGGAGGTGGGTACAGAGGAGGTGGGTACAGAGGATGCATGTGTGTGTGATGGGATTATGAACATGTCTTCACCTTGGGTTGACCTTCCACTGTGGCTGATACTAAGGTGTCGCTGATGCAGAACTGCAGACCATCATAGAGAGACCAGAGAGAGACCAGAGAGAGACCAGAGAGAGACCAGAGAGAGACCAGAGAGAGACCAGAGAGACCAGAGAGAGACCAGAGAGAGACCAGAGAGAGACCAGAGAGAGACCAGAGAGAGACCAGAGAGAGACCAGAGAGAGACCAGAGAGAGACCAGAGAGAGACCAGAGAGAGACCAGAGAGAGACCAGGGAGAGACCAGAGAGACCAGAGAGAGACCAGAGAGAGACCAGAGAGAGACCAGGGAGAGACCAGAGAGACCAGAGAGAGACCAGAGAGAGACCAGAGAGAGACCAGAGAGAGGCCAGAGAGAGACCAGAGAGAGACCAGGGAGAGACCAGAGAGACCAGAGAGAGACCAGAGAGAGACCAGAGAGAGACCAGGGAGAGACCAGAGAGACCAGAGAGAGACCAGAGAGAGACCAGAGAGAGACCAGGGAGAGACCAGAGAGAGACCAGAGAGAGAGACCAGAGAGACACCAGAGAGAGACCAGAGAGACCAGAGAGAGACCAGAGAGAGACCAGAGAGGGAGACCAGAGAGACCAGAGAGAGACAAGAGAGAGACCAGAGAGACACCAGAGAGAGACCAGAGAGACCAGAGAGAGACCAGAGAGAGACCAGAGAGAGACCAGAGAGAGACCAGAGAGAGACCAGAGAGACCAGAGAGAGACCAGAGAGAGACCAGAGAGACACCAGAGAGAGACCAGAGAGACCAGAGAGAGACCAGAGAGAGACCAGAGAGGGAGACCAGAGAGACCAGAGAGAGACAAGAGAGAGACCAGAGAGACACCAGAGAGAGACCAGAGAGACCAGAGAGAGACCAGAGAGAGAGACCAGATAGAGAGACCAGAGAGAGACCAGAGAGAGACCAGAGAGAGACCAGAGGGAGACCAGAGGGAGACCAGAGAGAGACCAGAGAGAGACCAGAGAGAGACCAGAGAGAGACCAGAGGGAGACCATAGAGAGACCATAGGGAGACCAGAGGGAGACCAGAGGGAGACCAGAGGGAGACCAGAGAGAGACCAGAGAGAGACCAGAGAGAGACCAGAGGGAGACCATAGAGAGACCAGAGGGAGACCAGAGAGAGACCAGAGAGAGACCAGAGAGAGAGACCAGAGAGAGAGACCAGAGAGAGACCAGAGAGAGAGCAGAGAGAGACCAGAGAGAGACCAGAGAGAGACCAGAGAGAGACCAGAGAGAGACCAGAGAGAGACCAGAGAGAGACCAGAGAGAGACCAGAGAGAGAGAGACCAGAGAGAGAGACCAGAGAGAGACCAGAGAGAGACCGGAGAAAGACCAGAGAGAGACCAGAGACAGACCAGAGAGAGACTCGAGAGAGACCAGAGAGAGACCAGAGAGAGAACAGAGAGCATGGCGCCGTAAAGATGGCGCCGTAAAGATGGCGCCGTGGCAAGAGCTCTGGTGTGTGTCGTCTGGTGCACACTGGGGTAGTCTTGCACAGTTTTTCTAATGTGGTTTTACTGCAAATGGCAAATAAATGAATCTGAATCTGAATCTGAATCTGACCAGAGAGACCAGAGAGAGACCAGAGAGACCAGAGAGAGACCAAAGAGACTGGTGAGAGACCTGAGAGAGACCACAGAGAGACTTGAGAGAGAGAACAGAGGCGGTAGAGAGACAAGAGAGAGGGACCAGAGAGACCAAATAGAGACCAGACAGATAGACTAGAGAAAGACAAGAGAACGGGACTAGAGAGACCGTAAAATGACCAGAGAGAGAGACCAGAGAGAGACCAGAGAGAGACCAGAGAGAGACCAGAGAGAGACTAGAGAGAGACCAGAGAGAGACCACAGAGAGACCAGAGAGAGACCAGTAAGAGAGAGGGACAAGAGAGGGACCAGAGAGAACAGAGAGAGGCCTATTCTCTATACTTTACCTCTCTTCTATCACTGTTGCACTGAGCCAAAGCAATTTTCAAGTCTGTGACTTCCTGTTACTTACGAGGCAATAAAAATGATTCTGATTCTGATTCTGATTCTGAATGCTTTCAGGTCAGAGTACGTAACACAACAATATGTAACATACTGGGGCTCGTCTCTTGGGTGTTACATATTGGGGTTCGTCTCTTGGGTGTAACATATTGGGGCTCGTCTCTTGGGTGTAACATATTGGGGCTCGTCTCTTGGGTGTAACATATTGAGGCTCGTCTCTTGGGTGTAACATATTGGGGCTCGTCTCTTGGGTGTAACATATTGGGGCTCGTCTCTTGGGTGTTACATATTGGGGCTCGTCTCTTGGGTGTAACATATTGGGGCTCGTCTCTTGGGTGTAACATATTGGGGCTCGTCTCTTGGGTGTAACATATTGGGGCTCGTCTCTTGGGTGTAACATATTGGGGCTCGTCTCTTGGGTGTAACATATTGGGGCTCGTCTCTTGGTTGAACCTTGATAGTTTTTGTTCATCTCAGTGTGATACAGTTTTGTGTAAGGTTTAGTCTCTCCTTTTGTCGCTGAGTGTTTAGTGGGTCTAGGGATTATTCAATCTAAGCTTTTTGATTTTTAAGGGGATACTGGGTGGGCCGTTACCATAGTTACCGAGACAGGAGCGAGAGAGAGGAGAGAGACCAGAGAAAAATGACTGTACCGACTTCCGTAATGTTACTTCCTCCTTGGTCTTGTGTGTTTCAGAGCAACACGACAGAGACTTCTTCAGGAACAATAAGGATCAGTCTGTCTGTGTTAGTGACCAGAAAGTAAGTACCATGTGTCTGTGTTAGTGACCAGAAAGTAAGTACCATGTGTCTGTGTTAGTGACCAGAAAGTAAGAACCATGTGTCTGTGTTAGTGACCAGAAAGTAAGTACCATGTGTCTATGTTAGTGACCAGAAAGTAAGTACCATGTGTCTGTGTTAGTGACCAGAAAGTAGGTACCATATGTCTGTGTTAGTGACCAGAAAGTAAGTACCATGTGTCTGTGTTAGTGACCAGAAAGTAAGTACCATGTGTACCAGAGAGAGAAACCAGAGAGAGACCAGAGAGAGAAACCAGAGGGAGAGACCAGAGAGAGACCAGAGAGAGAGACCAGAGAGAGACCAGAGAGAGAGACCAGAGAGAGAGACCAGAGAGAGACCAGAGAGAGACCAGACCAGAGAGAGACCAGAGAGTGACCAGAGAGAGACCAGAGAAAGAGACCAGAGAGAGAGAGACCAGAGAGAGAGAGACAGAGAGAGACCAGAGAGACCAGACCAGAGTGAGACCAGATTGAGACCAGCGAGAGACCAGAGAAAAATGACTGTACCGACTTCCGTATTGTTACTTCCTCCTTGGTCTTGTGTGTTTCAGAGCAACACAACAGAGAGACCAGAGAGACTAGAGAGAGACCAGAGAGAGACCAGTAAGAGAGAGAGACCAGAGAGAGACCAGAGAGAGACACCAGAGAGACACCAGAGAGAGACCAGAGAGAAGAGAGAGAGAGAGACCCCAGAGAGACCAGAGAGAGACCAGTAAGAGAGAGAGACCAGAGAGAGACCAGAGAGAGACCAGAGGGAGAGACCAGAGAGAAAGACCAGAGAGAGACCAGAGAGAGACCAGAGAGAAGAGAGAGAGAGAGACCCCAGAGAGACCAGAGAGAGACCAGTAAGAGAGAGAGACCAGAGAGAGACCAGAGAGAGACCAGAGGGAGAGACCAGAGAGAGACCAGAGAGAGACCAGAGAGAGACCAGAGAGAGACCAGAGAGAGACCAGAGAGAGACCAGAGAGAGACCAGAGAGAGACCCGAGAGAGAGACCAGAGAGAGAGACCAGAGAGAGAGACCAGAGAGAGAGACCAGATAGAGACCAGAGAGAGACCAGAGAGAGACCAAAGAGAGACCAAAGAGAGACCAGAGTGCGACCAGAGTGAGACCAGAGTGAGACCAGAGAGAGACCAGAGAGAGACCAGAGAGAGAGACCAGAAAGAAACCAGTAAGAGAGAGAGACCAGAGAGAGTCCAGCGAGAGACCCGAGAGAGATTTAAGAGACACCAGAGAGAGACCAGAGAGAGACCAGAGAGAGACCAGAGAGAGAGACCAGAGAGAGAGACCAGTAAGAGAAAGAGACCAGAGAGAGACCAGTAAGAGAGAGAGACCAGAGTGAGACCAGATTGAGACCAGCGAGAGACCAGAAAAAAATGAATGTACCGACTTCCGTATTGTTACTTCCTCCTTGGTCTTGTGTGTTTCAGAGCAACACGACAGAGAGACCAGAGAGACTAGAGAGAGACCAGAGAGAGACCAGTAAGAGAGAGAGACCAGAGAGAGACCAGAGAGAGACACCAGAGAGACACCAGAGAGAGACCAGAGAGAAGAGAGAGAGAGAGACCCCAGAGAGACCAGAGAGAGACCAGTAAGAGAGAGAGACCAGAGAGAGACCAGAGAGAGACCAGAGGGAGAGACCAGAGAGAAAGACCAGAGAGAGACCAGAGAGAGACCAGAGAGAAGAGAGAGAGAGAGACCAGAGAGAGACCAGAGAGAGACCAGAGGGAGAGACCAGAGAGAGACCAGAGAGAGACCAGAGAGAGACCAGAGAGAGACCAGAGAGAGACCAGAGAGAGACCAGAGAGAGACCAGAGAGAGACCCGAGAGAGAGACCAGAGAGAGAGACCAGAGAGAGAGACCAGAGAGAGAGACCAGATAGAGACCAGAGAGAGACCAGAGAGAGACCAAAGAGAGACCAAAGAGAGACCAGAGTGCGACCAGAGTGAGACCAGAGTGAGACCAGAGAGAGACCAGAGAGAGACCAGAGAGAAGAGAGAGAGAGAGACCCCAGAGAGACCAGAGAGAGACCAGTAAGAGAGAGAGACCAGAGAGAGACCAGAGAGAGACCAGAGGGAGAGACCAGAGAGAAAGACCAGAGAGAGACCAGAGAGAGACCAGAGAGAGACCAGAGAGAGACCAGAGAGAGACCAGAGAGAGACCAGAGAGAGACCAGAGAGAGACCCGAGAGAGAGACCAGAGAGAGAGACCAGAGAGAGAGACCAGAGAGAGAGACCAGATAGAGACCAGAGAGAGAGACCAGAGAGAGACCAAAGAGAGACCAAAGAGAGACCAGAGTGCGACCAGAGTGAGACCAGAGTGAGACCAGAGAGAGACCAGAGAGAGACCAGAGAGAGAGACCAGAAAGAAACCAGTAAGAGAGAGAGACCAGAGAGAGTCCAGCGAGAGACCCGAGAGAGATTTAAGAGACACCAGAGAGAGACCAGAGAGAGACCAGAGAGAGACCAGAGAGAGAGACCAGAGAGAGAGACCAGTAAGAGAAAGAGACCAGAGAGAGACCAGTAAGAGAGAGAGACCAGAGAGAGACCAGAGAGAGACCAGAGAGAGACCAGAGAGAGAGACCAGAGAGAGACCAGAGAGACCAGAGAGAGACCAGAGAGAGAGACCAGAGAGAGAGACCAGAGAGAGACCAGAGAGAGACCAGAGAGAGACCAGAGAGAGAGACCAGAGAGAGACCAGAGAGAGACCAGAGAGAGACCAGAGAGAGACCAGAGAGAGACCAGAGAGAGAGACCAGAGAGAGACCAGAGAGAGACCAGAGAGAGAGACAAGAGAGAGAGACCAGAGAGAGACCAGAGAGAGACCAGAGAGAGACCAGAGAGAGAGACCAGAGAGAGACCAGAGAGAGACCAGAGAGAGACCAGAGAGAGACCAGAGAGAGACAAGAGAGAAACCAGAGAGAACAGAGAGAGGCCTATTCTCTATTCTTTACCTCTCTTCTTTCACTGTTGCACTGAGCCAAAGCAATTTTCAAGTCTGTGACTTCCTGTTACTTACGAGGAAATAAAAATGATTCCGATTCTGATTCTGAATGCTTTCAGGTCAGAGTACGTAACACAACAATATGTAACATACTGGGGCTCGTCTCTTGGGTGTAACATATTGGGGTTCGTCTCTTGGGTGTTACATATTGGGGCTCGTCTCTTGGGTGTAACATATTGGGGCTCGTCTCTTGGGTGTAACATATTGGGGCTCGTCTCTTGGGTGTAACATATTGGGGTCCGTCTCTTGGGTGTAACATATTGGGGCTCGTCTCTTGGGTGTAACATATTGGGGCTCGTCTCTTGGGTGTAACATATTGGGGCTCGTCTCTTGGGTGTAACATATTGGGGCTCGTCTCTTGGGTGTAACATATTGGGGCTCGTCTCTTGGGTGTAACATATTGGGGCTCGTCTCTTGGGTGTAACATATTGGGGCTCGTCTCTTGGGTGTAACATTATTGGGGCTCGTCTCTTGGGTGTAACATATTGGGGCTCGTCTCTTGGGTGTAACATATTGGGGCTCGTCTCTTGGGTGTAACATATTGGGGTTCCTCTCTTGGGTGTAACATATTGGGGCTCGTCTCTTGGTTGAACCTTGATAGTTTTTGTTCATCTCAGTGTGATACAGTTTTGTGTAAGGTTTAGTCTCTCCTTTTGTCGCTGAGTGTTTAGTGGGTCTAGGGATTATTCAATCTAAGCTTTTTGATTTTTGAGGGGATCCTGGGTGGGCCGTTACCATAGTTACCGAGACAGGAGCGAGAGAGAGGAGAGAGACCAGAGAAATATGACTGTACCGACTTCCGTAATGTTACTTCCTCCTTGGTCTTGTGTGTTTCAGAGCAACACGACAGAGACTTCTTCAGGAACAATAAGGATCAGTCTGTCTGTGTTAGTGACCAGAAAGTAAGTACCATGTGTCTGTGTTAGTGACCAGAAAGTAAGTACCATGTGTCTGTGTTAGTGACCAGAAAGTAAGTACCATGTGTCTGTGTTAGTGACCAGAAAGTAAGTACCATGTGTCTGTGTTAGTGACCAGAAAGTAAGTACCATGTGTCTGTGTTAGTGACCAGAAAGTAAGTACCATGTGTCTGTGTTAGTGACCAGAAAGTAAGTACCATGTGTCTGTGTTAGTGACCAGAAAGTAAGTACCATGTGTCTGTGTTAGTGACCAGAAAGTAAGTACCATGTGTCTGTGTTAGTGACCAGAAAGTAAGTACCATGTGTCTGTGTTAGTGACCAGAAAGTAAGTACCATGTGTCTGTGTTAGTGACCAGAAAGTAAGTACCATGTGTCTGTGTTAGTGACCAGAAAGTAAGTACCATGTGTCTGTGTTAGTGACCAGAAAGTAAGTACCGTGTGTCTGTGTTAGTGACCAGAAAGTAAGTACCGTGTGTCTGTGTTAGTGACCAGAAAGTAAGTACCATGTGTCTGTGTTAGTGACCAGAAAGTAAGTACCATGTGTCTGTGTTAGTGACCAGAAAGTAAGTACCATGTGTCTGTGTTAGTGATCAGAAAGTAAGCACCATGTGTCTGTGTTAGTGACCAGAAAGTAAGTACCATGTGTCTGTGTTAGTGACCAGAAAGTAAGCACCATGTGTCTGTGTTAGTGATCAGAAAGTAAGTACCGTGTGTCTGTGTTAGTGACCAGAAAGTAAGTACCATGTGTCTGTGTTAGTGACCAGAAAGTAAGCACCATGTGTCTGTGTTAGTGACCAGAAAGTAAGTACCATGTGTCTGTGTTAGTGACCAGAAAGTAAGTACCATGTGTCTGTGTTAGTGACCAGAAAGTAAGTACCATGTGTCTGTGTTAGTGACCAGAAAGTAAGTACCATGTGTCTGTGTTAGTGACCAGAAAGTAAGTACCATGTGTCTGTGACCAGAAAGTAAGTACCATGTGTTTGTGACCAGAAAGTAAGTACCATGTGTCTGTGTTAGTGACCAGAAAGTAAGTACCATCTGTCTGTGTTAGTGACCAGAAAGTAAGTACCATGTGTCTGTGTTAGTGACCAGAAAGTAAGTACCATGTGTTTGTGTTAGTGACCAGAAAATAAATACCATGTGTCTTTGTTTGTGACCAGAAAGTAAGTACCATGTGTCTGTGTTAGTGACCAGAAAGTAAGTACCATGTGTCTGTGTTAGTGACCAGAAAGAAAGTACCATGTGTCTGTGTTAGTGACCAGAAAGTAAGTACCATGTGTCTGTGTTAGTGACCAGAAAGTAAGTACCATGTGTCTGTGTTAGTGACCAGAAAGTAAGTACCATGTGTCTGTGTTAGTGACCAGAAAGTAAGTACCATGTGTCTGTGTTAGTGACCAGAAAGTAAGTACCATGTGTCTGTGTTAGTGACCAGAAAGTAAGTACCATGTGTCTGTGTTAGTGACCAGAAAGTAAGTACCATGTGTCTTTGTTTGTGACCAGAAAGTAAGTACCATGTGTCTGTGTTAGTGAACAGAAAGTAAGTACCATGTGTCTGTGTTAGTGACCAGAAAGTAAGTACCATGTGTCTGTGTTAGTGACCAGAAAGTAAGTACCATGTGTCTGTGTTAGTGACCAGAAAGTAAGTACCATGTGTCTGTGTTAGTGACCAGAAAGTAAGTACCATGTGTCTGTGTTAGTGACCAGAAAGTAAGTACCATGTGTCTGTGTTAGGGACCAGAAAGTAAGTACCATGTGTTTGTGTTAGTGACCAGAAAGTAAGTACCATGTGTCTGTGTTAGTGACCAGAAAGTAAGTACCATGTGTCTGTGTTAGTGACCAGAAAGTAAGTACAATGTGTCTGTGTTAGTGACCAGAAAGTAAGTACCATGTGTTTGTGTTAGTGACCAGAAAGTAAGTACCATGTGTCTGTGTTAGTGACCAGAAAGTAAGTACCATGTGTCTGTGTTAGTGACCAGAAAGTAAGTACCATGTGTCTGTGTTAGTGACCAGAAAGTAAGTACCATGTGTCTGTGTTAGTGACCAGAAAGTAAGTACCATGTGTCTGTGTTAGTGACCAGAAAGTAAGTACCATGTGTTTGTGTTAGTGACCATAAAGTAAGTACCATGTGTTTGTGTTAGTGACCATAAAGTAAGTACCATGTGTCTGTGTTAGTGACCAGAAAGTAAGTACCATGTGTGACGTGTTAATGTGTGACGTATGTATACAACAGTTACTATAGGAACAGTGGGCGGAGTCAAACACTGTTTTATTGTGTAGGAGTCTGGACTGACCACCAGCAGGGCGGCGACAGAGAGACTGAGCATGGACCAGAGAGAGCACTGTCCTCCCACCACCAGAAGGGCGGCGTCACTGAGCTCCTTTGATATATTGATTGACTTTAAAAAGGAGGAGGATCATGGGTAAGTCTGACTGTGATTCATGTGTGTCTGAGGCTAAGCAGGTCAGGGCCTGGGCGGTCATCTCCTGTTGTTCCTCTGTTTCGTTGAACTGATTTTTTAGTTTTCAGATCCACAGCTCATTTTGATTTGAGGAATATTTCTGCTGTTAAGTACCATGTGTGACGTGTTGATGTGTCTGTGTTAGTGACCAGAAAGTAAGTACCATGTGTGACGTGTTGATGTGTCTGTGTTAGTGACCAGAAAGTAAGTACCATGTGTCTGTGTGAGTGACCAGAAAGTAAGTACCATGTGTCTGTGTTAGTGACCAGAAAGTAAGTACCATGTGTGACGTGTTAATGTGTCTGTGTTAGTGACCAGAAAGTATACGTACCATGTGTGACGGTTTTATGTGTCTGTGCTAGTGACCAGAAAGTAAGTACCATGTGTGACGTGTTGATGTGTCTGTGTTAGTGACCAGAAAGTATACGTACCATGTGTCTGTGTTAGTGATTTTTTATGAACAACTATAAACAACGACGTCACTCAAAGATCCTCCTGTAGATGGAACTGCAGAAGTTAAATGTCTGGGCTCAACCAGGACTAAACCAGGACTAAACCAGGACTAAACCAGGACTAAACCAGGACTAAACCAGGACTAAACCAGGACTAAACCAGGACTAAACCAGGACTAAACCATGATAAAGAGGAGCTGGTCCTTGGTAAGTCCCACTCCTTGTATCAGCAGCTCACAGACACAGTGTCCTGAAGACATGGACAGAGCTCATACCAGGTGTAGATACCAGGTGTAGATACCAGGTGTAGATGATATCTGTGTGTTTGTGGACGTGACGCAGCCTGTGGTGAAGGCCTCTCCAACACTGAAGCTCTCTTCTTCTGTGTCTCAGGATCCTCCACAAACTTCAGTCTGGACCTGGTCCCAGATGTGAGTCCCTCAGGAGTGACTGGTCTAAGGAGTTACCATGGCACTTCAGGAGTGACCGGTCTATGGGAGAACCATGGAACTTAAAGACAGAGTAAGTCTCATGGACATAAGTGTCTCTGTCTCATGGACATAAGTGTCTCAGTCTCATGGACATAAGTGTCTCAGTCTCATGGACATAAGTGTCTCTGTCTCTCCACAGAGCGGCTGCAGATGTCTCCACTGGTCCGCACCATGGCTCTCACCTGGTCTCCATATTTAAGGTCTGTCCTTCAGTCGTTTGTAGATGTTGAGCTGAAGGACTAGTTTCACACAGATGTGACTCATGTCCATGTGTCCTGTTCTCTCTTTATTATACACACACTACACAAAGCTTCAGACGCACAAAACAACACACACACAAACCTGTGACACACTCTGACTTCAGGAGAAAAGACTGGATTAGTCTTTATTGTCTGTGACAATTTGTCTTCAAGGTTCAAGGTGACTTTATTTGTACCCGTGGGTAGATTCTTTTTGCAGTTAAAAAAGAGAGACGCAATAGATAAGTTAAAAATAAAATAAAATAATAATATTGATAATTATAATGAAAATAGTAATAATTAAAGCCGCAAGCGGCGATGAAAGGCCTCGCCACTTTCGCGACCGCCTCCCGGGCGCCAATCCCACAAGTGTCACGTGGCGTACTCGCCGACGAATTGGCCTTATTCGCCATGGCGAGGGACGAAAACGGTGATGATTTTCTAACCTTTTTTTGATGATTGTATAAATTCAATCCGTCCAGATTAGGAAATGACGTGGTAGAACTCTGTGTGATGAAAAACCAGGGACTAGTTCAAAGTAAAAAAGGAAAAGTCAAATTAGCGGCGAAACTTCAGCCCATCATGGCCGACTTCCTGTTGGTCCCAAAGTGAGGCCCAGAGAGAGTTTTATGCTCGTCTCATAGAGATCTATCACTGATCTGAATTTCATGTACCTACTCCAAAATATGCATGCCTGGCTCCCATAGGCTTTGCAAATTTGACTTTTCCAGGGGGCGCTATCGAATCGCCTTTTGTCGTTTTTGACCCCCCATGTGCAGACTTTCGTGCCTGTCTTCAGGGTCAAAAATCAAATTGATCTTGCGGAAAAATAATAATATGAAACCGACGAATGACAGTAGGCCACCCCAATACAATAATAATAAGGTAAAAGTGGTCCAAAGGTACAAAGTCAGGACTCAGGAGCACAGGTACAATACAGGCAGATCCTCTGTACCTGTGTGCTGTAGCACGGGGACACTACAGGCAGCGATCCTCTGTACCTGTGTGCTGTAGCACAGGGACACTACAGGCAGCGATCCTCTGTACCTGTGTGCTGTAGCACAGGGACACTACAGGCAGCGATCCTCTGTACCTGTGTGCTGTAGCACAGGGACACTACAGGCAGCGATCCTCTGTACCTGTGTACTGTAGCACAGGGACACTACAGGCAGCGATCCTCTGTACCTGTGTGCTGTAGCACAGGGACAATACAGGCAGCGATCCTCTGTACCTGTGTGCTGCAGCACAGGGACACTACAGGCAGCGATCCTCTGTACCTGTGTGCTGTAGCACAGGGACACTACAGGCAGATCCTCTGTACCTGTGTGCTGTAGCACAGGGACACTACAGGCAGCGATCCTCTGTACCTGTGTGCTGTAGCACAGGGACACTACAGGCAGATCCTCTGTACCTGTGTGCTGCAGCACAGGGACACTGCAGGCAGATCCTCTGTACCTGTGTGCTGCAGCACAGGGACACTACAGGCAGTGATCCTCTGTACCTGTGTGCTGCAGCACAAGGATACTACAGGCAGATCCTCTGTACCTGTGTGCTGCAGCACATGGACATTACAGGCAGAGCCTCTGTACCTGTGTGCTGTAGCACAGGGACACTACAGACAGTGATCCTCTGTACCTGTGTGCTGTAGCACAGGGACACTACAGGCAGCAATCCTCTGTACCTGTGTGCTGCAGCACAAGGACACTACAGGCAGATCCTCTGTACCTGTGTGCTGTAGCACAGGGACACTACAGGCAGCGATCCTCCTCCACACACTGACAACACACACTCCTCCTCCACACACTGACAACACACACTCCTCCTCCACACACTGACAACACACACTCCTTCTCCTCCACACACTGACAACACACACTCCTTCTCCTCCACACACTGACAACACACACTCCTTCTCCTCCACACACTGACAACACACACTCCTCCTCCACACACTGACAACACACACTCCTTCTACTCCACACACTGACAACACACACTCCTTCTCCTCCTCCACACACTGACAACACAAACTCCTTCTCCTCCACACACTGACAACACACACTCCTTCTTCTCCTCCACACACTGACAACACACACTCCTTCTTCTCCTCCACACACTGACAACACACACTCCTTCTCCTCCTCCACACACTGACAACACACACTCCTTCTACTCCACACACTGACAACACACACTCCTTCTCCTCCTCCACACACTGACAACACACACTCCTTCTCCTCCACACACTGACAACACACACTCCTTCTCCTCAACACACTGACAACACACACTCCTTCTCCTCCTCCACACACTGACAACACACACTCCTTCTCCTCCACACACTGACAACACACACTCCTTCTCCTCCACACACTGACAACACACACTCCTTCTCCTCCTCCACACACTGACAACACACACTCCTTCTCCTCCACACACTGACAACACACACTCCTTCTCCTCCACACACTGACAACACACGCTCCTTCTCCTCCTCCACACACTCTGACCACAACAAGGCGTTACCCAAAATGCACTGCACTCACAGTGGCCCTCATGTATGAAGCTTGCGTACGGCCAAATCAGGGTGTAACTGAGGCGTACGCAAAATATTTACACTTTTCCGCATTTATCAATCTGGACATTTATTCTGGATCAGAATCAGTTTATTTGCCATTTGCAGAAAAAAACGACATTGGAACACAGGAGACACCGGGGGCACCAACACAACAAAGCACACACACAGAATAAAAATAGCGAGACACAGTGAGGCAAATATAAAACTCTTAAAAGCATTATTAAGACGCTACGAAGGAGGAGCTCCAAGAGAAGCAGATCTCAGGACGCTCTGTTCAGTCTTATAACCGCCTGAGGGAAGAAGCTATTGGCATGGCGGGTGGTCCTGCACCGCACGGACCGGAATCTTCTCCCCGAGGGAAGAGGCTGGAACAAGGCCGCTCCAGGATGACCAGAGGAGTCCTTTACAATCCTCAGGGCTCGGTTCAAGAGTCTGCTCTCATAACGAGCCTCCAGAACGGGCTTCTCACGGTTCACAGTCCTCTGAGCAGAACCACTTTGTTCAGGGCTCTCTTTTCTTTGGCTGTGATGAACCACAGTGATCGCACCAGCATCAGGCTTTCTATGGTGCAGCGGTAGAAGTTCAGAAAAATCTTAAGGGGCGTTCACACCGGACTTAACTTCGGCGTCAAAGGCGTCAGGTTTGCATTGAAAGTGAATGGTGAAGCACGTCAGGTGAAGCCGAGGGGCCCGGCGTCACTTGACGCGCGTCAAAAGCTTCAAGAGTCGCTGAGTCCTGAGAAATCAGGTCTTCAACGCTCCTGTTTTCTTCGTACGCTAACTGGAGCGGTCGGTACCGGAGGGGATCTGGCTCTAAACAAAGTCCAGTACAAAGTCCAGTATAAGCCGCTCAATGCCGTCTGGGCATGCGGCTTTTCGGGTCGGGGTTCTGGACAGGACCCGCTGCACTTCCTCCTGCGTCACTGTAAAGGCTGCTTGGCCTATACAGTCAAGGAAGACGACAGGTGAGGGATCAGCGGCTTCAAAGTGACAGTAAAAGTTCTTGAGCTCGTTGGGCAGAGCTTTGTCAGCGATGACAGTTCTGCCTGCGCTCGGCTTCCAGGCTGTGAAGGTCTGAATGCCCTTCCACTTTTGCCTGGAATCCTTACTCTATGCAGTGTCCTTCTTGTCGCTCTCCATAGGACCGCTTAACGTGTTTAATAGAGCGTTCTAAAGCATATCTGGATAGTTTGTAAGCCAATGCATCGTCAGATTGAAAAGCTAACGCACGCTCACGGATTCTACTTTTTACTTCCGAAGTCATCCATAGGTTTTGACCACAATGCTCTTTTATTATTTTCCGTGGGACACAGCAATCAATACAAAAGTCAATATATCCCGTAACAGCATCACAGTATTCGTCCACATTTTCCGAGTGGAAAACAGACCAGTCCGTGGCGTCAAAACAGCCCTGCAGCTTTAAGTTTACGTCGTCTGACCAGCACTGAACAGAACGAAAGGATGGTTTCTTTAGCTGGCTCTTCTGCATATATGATGGTAGAAGCAGCACTGAAGAGTGGTCAGACCTCCCGAGCACTGGTCTGAGGTAAGACCTAAAGGCCCCTTTAATATTACTATAGCAGTGATCCAGAATGCGAGAGCACCTTGTAGGCATAGACACATGCTGGTGAAAGTTATGGAGCACTGACTTTAAGTTACATTTGTTGAAGTCACCCGCTGCAATTATGGCTGCTTTGGGATAAGCACCTTCGCATTTCTGCAAAATGTCACTCAAGTCATTTAGTGCATCAGCGGAGTCCGCTCGGGGGTGAATGTAAACAGCACACAGAAACACAGCAGTCAGTTCCCGGGGCAGAAAGAAAGGGCGGCATTTTAGCACAATATATTCTAGGTTAGCTGAACAAAAAATGTTAACCACAACATTGTCTGTGCTCCAGCACTGGTTGAGCAGGATACATTCCCCACCTTCTCTGTTTTTTCCCGTGGACTCCTTATTCCTGTCCATACGGAAAACGGAGAAGCCAGGTGGCAGAAACGCAGAGTCCTGAACACCGCTGTGGAGCCAAGTCTCCGTCAGACAGAACGCAGCGCATTCTGCGGCCTCTCTCTGGACCCGGATTCGGCTCGCGAGGTCATCTGATTTGTTCAGAAGGGACTGCATGTTCGCTAAATATATGGACGGCAGTGGGGACCTGGAGGTACGGCTCCGCACAAGCAGACCAGCTCGCTTTCCTCTGAGGCGACGCTTCCTCCTTCGGCCCCAGGCTGCCTGGACTCCGCGGTGCGAGTGGTGGAGATGCCCACCCCACTCGCTCTGATCCCGGCTAGAGGCGTAGCGCTGCCCGCCGGTCCGGGTAGGACACTCACCGAAGTCCTTGCATCGGAGTTCGGGCAGAACTTCGCCACAAACTCTGTCTCCAATACTCAAAAAGAGTCACGGTCGTACACCACTGTATCCATCCCCATGCACACAAGACATACAGCAAAAGACAGGGTGCAACCCAGAGCTCGAGCTACGCAGCCATACACCAACGCCATCTTGGAGATTTATGGAAAATAAAATGTAAAATAGGACTTACTTCATGCACAGAGGATTTGAGTAAGCGACCACATATCTTGTCAAGACCGAGGTTTTTGTTTGGATTAATTATAGAGAGGGCTTTTATGACATCCTCAGTAAAGGTAAAGGTGCACTTTTATTAATCCCCGTAGGGCAATTCAATCCTCTGCATTCTCTGACCCATCCTGATGCCACTAAGGCGTACGTCAGGAGCAGTGGTCGCTGTAGAACAGCGTCTGGGAATCCATCTCCAGATGTTGATGCTCTGGGTCAGGACCGGAGCTGGAGGATTTTAACCTAGTGAGCATGTTTTTAGTGGTAAGGGAAACTGGAGTACCCGGAGGAAACCTACTCAGGCACGGGGAGAACATGCAAACTCCACTCAGAAAGACCCTGTTCCGACCGGGATTCGAACCCAGGACCTTCTTGCTGAGAGGCGAGAGTGCTAACCACTCAGCCACCGTGTCAACAAGATCATGTTTCAAATCAAGATTTTCCCAACTAAAGTCAAAAGAGTCAAAACGGCAGCAAAACTCATGAAAGTAATTGGCCAGTTTACTGTCAGATACAAAGCCCTCTAAAACATTTTTTTTTTTTTTTGCTTGGCCATTTTGGAGCCAGCATTGATGTTCATGCTTGTCCAGGCTGAACCGTGTTGTTGTTGCTGCCATCCTATTTTCCAGTTTTGATTTGTAAGCACATTTAATTTAAGCATTTCAATTTTAAGTTTCTTCTTGGCTTCTTGAATACCAGGTTGTGATCCTTGCTGAAAAGCTAAAGCCCTTTTCTGTAAGCAGGACTTTACAGTTCTTGTAACCCAAGGCCTATTATTGGTGTATATTTTGACCCTTTTGGATGGTATTATCATGTCCCTTCAAAAAGCCTCATAAGAGCAGGTCATATCAGCCAAGGTGTCCAGGTCATCGTCACATGACTGAGTAAAGACATCCCAGTCCGTACAAGCATTCCTGTAGTGAAAGTACAGCCTCCTGAGTCCAGACTTCTACATCCCTGGTCTCAGTTTTTACTCTCTTCAGAACGGTCTCATAAGCAGGCACTAACTGCACAAATCTATGATCTGAGGAGCTCAGTGGAGGGATTGGAAAAGCTTTGTAGGCCCCTCAATAGATCCATGGCACAAGTCCAGTGTTTTCTCCTGCCTGGTTGGGCAGGAGACATTCTGACAGAAGTTCTTAAGTTCTTTTTCAAGGCCACGTGATTAAAATCCCTGCGGATTGCCAGACGAAGCCTGGGACAGATGACATGGAACTCAGTTTCAGTTCAAGGAGCATATCTCTTGTGTATTGAAGTCTTGCAAAAGAAGATACTGCAGCTCCATTGATTTTGTTTGCCAGAAGACGAAGGAGAAGGTTTGCCAGCACAATAAAGCTGGTCACTTGCCTCTGGTTGCGTTGATAAAAGCACCAGTCCGTCACATGCACCAGTCGACCACAATAACTAAAACTAAAGTTCATAAAGTTCTTAAAACACACTCAACCAAGACGCCAAGCTCTCATCCACCGCCAGTTGCAGCGTGCGCATGTCTTGGA